TATGCATGTATGTATGTATGTATGTATGTGTGTGTATCTATGTATGTATGTATGTATGGATGGATGGATGGATGGATGTATGTATGTATGTATGTATGTCCAAATATTAGAATTAGTTTGCAATTGTTTTTACCCAGGAGTCGAGTGCTTCCTGCGGACATAGCGGCGCGTCTCAGCAGCTCCCCAGCCCTGGCAGCTGCCGCTCAGCACTGGGGACTTCCGCGGAAGGCCCGAGGACACTCAAAAAATCGGACGTCAACAATGGTAGACTCTTAGATGTTGGCACTGACGTCATCCAATTTTAACTTCGCTGGATTTATTGGATTTTATGGTTTGGGTCTCTGAGTATTATGTGGATCATGCAGATCAATGTGCAGTTTGTTCATGATTCTCGTCCGGAATGCTGCAGAAGCTGATCAGGCTCCCTCTCCGTCACGGCGTCGACCGTCATCGCCTGCAGCGAAAGCAGCAGCGAAAGCGCCCAGAAATGGACCAAGCGGGCCACGGCCGGCCAATGCGCCTGCCAATGGAAATGGGCCAAGGGCGATGAATGGCATGACCTATGGCATGGGCATGGCCCGAGGACTGGTAAGGATTTGGCCACTGGCGTCACCTCATGATCTAGGTGTAGGATGATGTAGGGTGTAAAACTGTTCGCAAGTACCTTGAAGACTTTGGCTGCTTTCGGTTAAACATCTCTGTAAGACATACAAGGATCTGGAGAGGTCAGGAGATGCAACAAAGAAGATCAAAGAAGGCATGAAATGTGGCTTCGCAGGACCTTTCTCACCAGTGAGGGCATGCCATTCACTGTGGAGACCAGGTATCTCTGGTTGCTGACATGATGCATCATTGAATACAAAAAACAAATCATTTGTACCATGGCCAAATTCAGAGATGGATTCAAGATCTTCCAAAAGAACAAAACACTCACAGTATTGAACGAAGCATTGGATGGATACGTCGGATATGTTAAACCAAAAAGCAAACTTGATAGATTAGGTGACTCACAATATGGTAATCTGAGCATGAAAGTCAGTGTGACTGCTGTAGCTCTTTGTATCGTGACTGCTGTAGCTCTTCGTATCTCACCGGAGACTCTCCAGATTTTCTGCCAGAAGACGCAGAAAGATCAATGCTGGAAATTCGCTGCATGGTAAAATAGCTCCAAGAGACCTTGCATTTTGAGTACAAGAAGGCTGATGACGCTCGTTGAAAGACATGACCATTCAAATACAAGAACAGCATAGAAAAGTCCGCAAGTTATGTAAGATATGTAAGTAATGCAAGTGTTGATCTATCTCAATGAATTCTCAATCCAGTGATTTGGTTGTGATGTCGCCAGGCAAGCCTGGAGAGCGATACACACCTACATGCAGAAGATGGTGGGGCTGTGCAGGGATTGCCATGCCATGCCATGGCAGCCACGGCATTTCTTCAGGGCACTGTCAGTGTGTTGCGGCAGTTGCCTGTCACCTGGTTTCGAGGCATCTGACCATGCCATGGCAGAGATTGCCGCTTACAGGCAGGGCCTAGTGCAAGTGGCCGAATTGATCAGCCCCTGTCAACAGGACCAACATTGATGCAGTTGGAAGTCAGAATGATATCTCTATCATTCTGTGTTGAATCTTTGGGATAGTATTTTTAAGTGAAGCAAAACCCCCTTTTTGCGTGGGACAATGAAGAGCATGACATGGAGGTGGTGGTTGAATTAAATAAGTAATTAAAATGCCATTCTGGCTACAAGGCTACGCTTTCTGTGGCACAGGGATTTTAAATTTGAGGGCATGTCCGCGAGTGCCCTTCCTAGTGCTACAGAACTTGATGGCCTGCAGTCAGTGGATGACCTCCTGCAGTTGCTGGTTGTGCCGGACCCCATTTGGCAAGTGTTTGTTGGACAAGTTGGAGACCCTGGGCGTGACGTCCGTGTTCTTGCAGCCCTTCCCCGAACGGTGGTAATTCAGGGCTGCGTGCAGGGGACCCTCCCTACAGGGGAGATGATGACAGCAATTCAGGCCACTCGTGTGGGATTGGTCTGGCGGATGTGCAGAAAGATTGTGCACCTCTGGGCTGGACTTCCTGAAGGAGACTTTGTCGATGTGGACCCATGGGCCAATGACATGGAGGACAAGTTGAAGGACCAGAGCACAACTGGAGTGACCACAGAGGCCACTCCGGTAAAGGAGAGAGTTCTGAAGATGTCCAGTGTAGTGGACCAAGCCGGTGACTCCGAGCTCCTCTTAGCTTCGGGTGGGGAGATTGACAAATGGGCCAACTCCTATGTGGCGGTCATGGGGGCGCCGCCGCTTGAGGAAGAAGAACCAAATGAGGCGCAGTTGTCGGCGATGAACCGCAGGGCGAGCGTCCTGAAGCAGCCACCTTATGCTGACTTTGGAGTCTGGTTACCCTTCGCTAGGAGGACTTAGAAGGCCCAAAAGTTTAGGGCGTTCATGTCGGTGGGAGACGGGACACTTGTGGTGCGCGAGATGCCGGGACCAGAAAATTATTGCAGTGGTTGAGTTCATGGAAGGTCTACAAAGTAGCCCTCATTATGCTGGATGTGGCTTCTTTGGCAGCACTGCAATTGTACGAGAAAACAATTGAACGCCTGGTTATGCAATGGCCTAGATGCTGGCACTTGATAGTGATGGCCGACGACAAGGGCAGAGCTGAGTGGCTGGAAAAGATCTGCAGAAAGTTTGTAGTTGAGGAGGACTGCAAGAGGATGGTGCCGGTGGACTGGAACAGAGAGAAGCCTTGGACAGCCTGCTTTCAAGCGCCAGCCCCTGACAATGAATATTGGGATGAACAAGTTCGCCACCCGGCGGCAGCATGGTTAGCAAGCGGAGGACGTGGTGCAGCTTCAGCCCCGGCGGAACAAGTGGCCATGACCCATTTGCCTGGGGGCCTAGACTCCATCGAGGTGGACAAGGAAGAGGATGTCGAACCTCGCCGAAAGCAGGCGAACCGTGATAGGAGGCAAGCCAGGGCCACAAGGATTAGGTCAGAACGAGAAGAACTCGAGAAGCTCAGGAAAGTCAACCATCCTGGACAAGCTGCAGGGTCTGGGAAGGCGAAAGGTAAGGGCAAAAGCAAGGAAGGCTGGGATGCAGATTTGTTACTCCTTCGCCAATGGGACGGGTCCTTGCGGTGATTTGGAACCAGGAGCAGATTCAGAAGAGGGCACACAAATGTCAGCATTGCCTTCCCCCCGGACACAGAAACAGCGACTGTCCTAAGAAGGCTTGAGGGATATGGAGGAGGCCAACGTGCTTTCACCCACAGCTTGCCCCAAGGACGGGCGTGGACTCTTGAAGGAAAGAGGGGGTAAGGGTGTTCAGTGCTGGCGGGGGGGGGCTAGAAGGGTTTATAGTTTATTCATGTTGAACCCGATGTATTTGGAACTAAGGTTTGCTTTAGCCGGGATGCCTCTCAGCGAGAATAGCAGTGAGTCCGAGGCCCCTGACTATGGGGGGGGACTCGCCGAGGGTGATGAGGCTTGGTGGCCTCAGAGGGTGACGGACGCCTTGAAGGCAGCCTCGAACTTTGGAGAGTACAAGAAAAAGAGAATATCTTTGTGTTCGTCCACTTTTTCACAGCAGAGAATGACGCCCTTGCGGCCACTGTCATGAAACTGGCGGAGGCGGAGGGCATCAGTGAAAGCCCACTCCTTTCATGTCAGAAGAGACCAGATGGCCGACCTCCTGAAGGAGCAGCCCTATGGGGATTTGTTGGACCTGTGCCGCGCTGGAGAAGTAGATGCTGCTCATGCCTCCCCCGTCAGGTTCTTTTTGGGCCGCAAAACAGCACCCTGATGGACCTTACGCAGTGAGGAACCTGGAATGGATCTACGGCCTCCCGTCCAACACCAAGGAGCAGCAGGGCATGGCGGATCAGGGGTCCCTGTTGGTCATCAGGTCGGTCCAGCTGCTTGGAAGGGTGATACAGTCGCAGCGTAGGCGAAGAGTGCCAGACATTGGTAGCCCCTATAGGTTCGGAATCGCAGGCGGAGGGCGCGGTCTGGGCGCTAGCCGGATTTGTGGGACAAGGATCCCAACCTCCTGCCTCTGTCCGAAGGCTTGTGAGTACGGCCGCATGAAAGACGGTGCGGCTGGGTGCAAAGACTCACACGCTGCGGAGGTGGGGGGGAAGCAAGCAGGGTTGTCACTAAGGTTTGTTTCAGGTCGACCTAGGGACTCGGCTGCGTTCAAGCGAAGATTGTTCATAACGCAGCCCCCTTTTGGTCAAGTTTCAGGATGGAGGTAGCTCTAGCAGCCCCAGTGCAGGACGACTCTGTCCTGACATGGGCAGAGTTCTGGGGCTGCAGTGTATGCTGCCTATGCTTTATGTGTGCTTGCGCAGCATTTGGACGTTTGGTCTGCCAGTGCAAGGCGCGGTGGACCACCAGATGGCTGAGCAGAGCGCACAAAGAAGGGGGGTTGGAAGTGTGTCCACCACCTCTGGTCAGAGATCAAGGTTCGCAGACCGTCAAAAACCAAAAGCCGCAAAGACCAAAAGCCGCAGACGGTGGAGGGATCCACTTTAGAAAGTTCTCCGGCAAGTGTCCAGAGAGAACCAGGGAGAAGAGTGTTAGACACCCCAAGAAGGGCTCCCAAGAAGGACTATACTGGACATGGCCATGAGAGCACAGCCTGTCCTAGTGGAAGTCGAGGCCCGCAAGAGATGGTCACTCCAGAACACCTCCGCGGCACGTGGATCGGTGGATAGCCCGGACAACGTGGGCACCGGGGGGATGTCTCAAGGAGGTGGGACGTCCTGATGGCATGGTTATGCGGGATATGGAAAAAGGGTGGAGCAACAAGATACCGCTCCCGGGCTTGGGGGATACAATCAACTCCAGGCTCTATAAGCCGTGGCCCTGCATCGTCGCAAGTAGTAAGAGCGGTGCTCAGCTATGGGAACCCAAAACGTCAAAGTTCCGCAAGTTGAAGGTAGCGGTGACCACTTCGACCGTGAAAGAGAGGGTAATCAAGTTTCCCTTTCTCGACTGGAGGAAAAATTCAGGCGCGTGCGGTGGAAGAAAGGAAACCGTTATGCGGGCGGGGAGTGACTGTCAGATCAAAGGGTCATGACCCAACTGCAGGATCAGTCAGGATCCTTCTTTATACATGAATTCAGCTGGACAACCTGAAGGGCATCTTGAAACTTGGCGTTTGGAGAAGCGCGACAAGTCAGGTGGGCCAGAAATAGCGCTTGGATGTGCCAGATGGTTTGGTTTCAAAATAACCAAGCCAGGTTCCAACCAAAATCGAACCACGACATGTGGATCTCTTGGAGGGAGGGTGGGTCTGTGTGTCTTGCGACTGAGTTGTCGTGAAGCAAAACCCCCTTTTGCGTGGGACAATGAAGAGCATGACATGGAGGTGGTGGTTGAATTAAATAAGTAATTAAAATGTAATTTTGGCTACAAGGCTACGCTTTCTGTAGCACAGAGATTTTAAATCCCACCGACCCACACCAGTTGGGGCAAGGCCAGAAATAGCGCTTGGATGTGCCAGATGGTTTTGTTTCAAAATAACCAAGCCAGGTTCCAACCAAAATCGAACCACGACATGTGGATCTCACCAAATTCGACAAAAACTTGTGCTCTTGGAGGGAGGGTGGGTCTGTGTGTCTTGCGACTGAGTTGTCCTATTTTGGCACAATCATTATGTACATTCTTGCAAAGATTTAGGAGTATTCATCACACACTCAAGGATGAACATGGTTTGCTATGATACACCTGTGGACGTGTTGCTATTCTCTCATACTGCTTGAGCCCCCCTGACAATTGCAGGCGCCGAGTTGAGGATGAACTGAATGAAAAGTCACGGCCATACTGCACCATCATCATTCGAATTCGTCCATTTGCTCTAGATTAAGACAAAATTTGATGGTACAGAGAATTTTTTTTGGGTTTGGAGGTCTATGTGCACCATCCTGGACTTTTCCACGTTCGTGTTTTCCTTATCAATAGATTGCTGAGGTGCAATGACATCATTAAGATCTTGGACTCAGGCGACGGAGTTTAACTTGTCGTTTGAAACTTCCATTGGAGAACTGCTGGAAACTGCAGAGCTGTTCCAATTTCTTGGTGCAGACTTGGTGCCAAAAGCAGTTTCAAGCGAAGCGAAGGCCTTCAGGATTTTGTGTCAAATTCAATCACAGAGTGAATCATTGAATTTGCAACATGATGCAACATACTTGGCACTTCGGGCATGATAAAAACCTGCAGGTTTTCTACCTCAAGATGAGGGGCGATTACTACCGTACTAAACCTACACTGATTCAACATGCACTTGCAGACAGAGACATCTTTTGTGGCCCCAAGTTGGGAAGCGCTGAGAACACTGGAGTTCCCAGACCGAGGCTACCTTGCAGAATTTACTGATGGATCACAAAGAGGTGGGGATGAATATAGCAAAAGTGCAGCAGATTGTTTTTCAATCAAACCCTTTTCTCATCTTTTCTCTTTTGTTCATTTTGTTCTCAAGTTAGTTTGAAGTGAGTCCGACCTTGCCCTGCTGCTTCCTGCAGATGCATATGCTGCTGCAGCACATGAGTCCTATCAGACGGCCAACGTTTCTTTGCTGCACTCTGGGAAGGCTGAATGACTGAATGACGCTGACTGCCCTTGGATTTGAGTCGACAACTCCTTCACTGACCCACTTTGTACTTCCCTTGTACGCAGCAAACTAACCAAGTAGCAAATTGCTGGAACCCCTTCTGTTTTACTTCAGGCTGGCAGGCACTCAGTCAATGTCATGTCAGATCTGCCCGCCCTTGAAATGCCTAGGAGCTGGCTGTGCCCCTACCGTCTGATTCCTAGACAAGAAGTTTCGAAACGATCATACCTCTGTTGCAGGAACATTGACTTCCCATCGGCCAGTCAGAAGACACAGCCACTGATCCACCATTCCTGATATTAGTCAATCTTGGCACGAGTCTTGAAGTTCCTGCTCCAGCAGGTTGGAACCTATTTTTGTTGGTTCAGTCGCTGTTCTTACCATGGCCATGATTTTTTCCATTTCAGGCAACCAATTTGTCCAAACAATTTGACAGAATGGACCTGGCAGAATTTTCAACTGAGGCCCACTCATCCAATTCGCTTGGGCCTGGCCTTGAACTTCTCTGTTTTCTACTATGAGGCTGGACTGGGAATGGAGCACACTTCATTTATATCATTTATCTTGATTTATATTATATAATATATATATATTTCATATCTTGATTTCGTTTACGTATATAGGAAACCTATCGATTTTTCCATGGTTTCGATTGTTGACTTCCTGGTTTGTTCTACTTCATTTTGCAGATCCTTGTTGTCACTTGAAGCAACAGGTCTACAAGTACACTGACAAGGCTTGTCAGCTAGCCAAGGCATGGCGGCTCGCAGCGTGGCGTTGGCTTCTTGCCATTTTTCCATCAAAGCAGATAGGATTCTGTCATGTTTCTTTCCATCATGTTGCACTAATGTGCGAATCTGTGTTTGTGGAAAGTTTCTGCCGATCAGTCAGCGCTGCCCAGTCGCCCTTTCTCGATCTTTGTTGACCGCATTCAACGATCAAAGTGCGACAGGAAGCCTTCGAAAATGCAATGGGCGATCTCGACTCCCTGGATGCCGAACAGCACCCACTGCAACAAGACATTTCTTGAAACATTTGTTTTTTCGGCAGTGTGCCGGAGGATCAGAATCGTCGATCATTCGCTGTTCTTTTTCTGATCAATCCCCTGACGACAAGTGCATTGCAACGACAGGTACAAAGATAGTGCAGCCATCATGCAACTCCTGCGGGACAATTTAGCGTTGTGGCAGAACGACCTTCCGGGTGTCCGCCTGGCGTGTTGAAATTACCTTCAACTGAAAGACTCTGTAAGCTCTACTCTAAATGAATGGAAAAGGTTCAAAACCCCTGTTGCTTGATGATTAGACATGCTAGTAGGGGATGATAAAACCCCAAAACAATGGATTACCATAATCCATTATGGACATCTGTTTGCAGCTTAGCACACCTCGTTTTGACAAATATTGTCAGTTCCGTCAGCCCTTTCCGGCCAGGACGGTAAGGCGGAGCAGGATGGTACAGCTGTTGAGGATATTTGAGCGTTTCGAGCATTTCATATTCTACAGGAGATTTGCCTTGGGTGAACATACATGAGGCAATCAGCCGATCCAAACATCTCCAAACCGGGCAGAGAGTAGAGATTTCTATCTTTTTCAGTACTTGTTCTCCAGTACTGAGATGCTACAGTAAATGACTTTGTTTTCCTTGTTCTCAAAGCTTTTGACTGCTTGGTGCTTGGTTTCCAGTTGTTCCCAAGCCTGGTTGGTGTCAGTTGGTTCGGCAATGGCGGGCTCAGCTTTTCCGCCGATGCGCGGGCTTGGTGGACCTTGGGCAATGGCAATATGAACCTGTGTTCGCTGCAAGTTGGCAGCGTTTCCAATGTCTATCCGAGTCTATCCTGACCATGTCATACACAGTGCTTCAAAGCAGTTTGAGAAACATTGAAAAGAAATGCATGGTTGGTATCACTGTATCACTTGTTGGTATCGATAATCATCGATAATCAAAGAAATGTGTGTGTTCCCCTTTTTCTTCCTTGTCCAGTTGGTATCACCTTCGCCTGCTGCAGAGCTCCCAAGTCTTGGCCAAGTCCTGCTGGCCAAGTGGTCCCAAAGGAAGCATGGCAACAGTCTATGTCATGGCCAGAATTCAGGGGCCCTGAGCAGTGGCAAGGCCCCCGAACTTTATTTGTCATGGTTCAAAGTTCAAAGGAAGTATAAGACAAGAGAAACATCTCACAAATATCTCACGTACATTGTTTGAGCCACATGGCTGGGGCGCAAGGCATTCTTGCTTAGATGCTAAAAGAGAAGAAAAAGATAGGAGGGGCATGATGACTGTACTCTTTATTGCACCCTCATGGAACCTGAGCCGTTCTGCAAGCTTCGCTTTCTATGATGGGACAGTTTTGCCACACTTCCATTTGCGTGAGCATTCTGAAGCCTTTTGGGCTTAATGAATATTCAGGGACTTATTTGTGGAGGCTGGACATTGGGGATGCAGCAAAGCACAATCATTGGAGAATCTTGGTGGCCACCTATAATAGGTCACGAAGTTGCAAGAAGATATTTAATGATATTTCTATATCCAGAAATTGTACACTCATCATGAACCAACAACTGTTTCTGTGAATTTACTTGCGATGGTTCTGCCTTTTGTATTTCCTGCTTATGTGCATTGATGCAAAGGTGAAATTGGTGATGGCTAGAGGCGGGCCAGATTCTTGTATCTGCAGCATGGTGACAGGTGCTTCTCAAGGATTCAGTTGAGCTTCGCACAGGTAGCCATGATGCGGCAGCGAGAGCTGAAATAGCATTCTTAGAGCAAGGCCTTAAGAATGCCCGGCCCCCAGGGCCCCAGACTGGGTTGCAAGCCAACGTGTCGATGTTCAGTTTTCCAGACTGGTGTTCTACAGTGGAACAAGAACCTAGTGGCTCGCAACAGTTTGAATACTGTTATATACTGTATTTGAAGAGCATATTTTCTCTACAGCTTCAGAGAGGATCTCCGGCTCTCGAAGCTTTACAACACATGCCTACCCTCGCCTGGACAGTCCAACAACATGCTCCAGCTGATGAACACCACCAGCACAGATGCCCAAGAGGTAGTACGGTGACGTACTCAGTTAGTAGTCTGATGTAGTCTGTTACTTGTTAAATGTAGCATTTTTCGATGCAAACTGCTAGTAGCATCTAGTAGCATTTTTCTATGAGTGGATTGGAAGTCGGTGATCCAAGGCAATACAGGATGGTCTTGAAAGCGCTGATGGGCGTGAAAGGGATGGATGAGGAGAGCATTTTTTAGCGAGGCTGATCTATTCACAGGTGTGGTGGCCGCTGGTGGCCTGGTGTGTCTTTCTGCATTTTGTGCACGGAGGAGATATGTGAAGCGCTCAAAGAGTTCAAGGACATTGGAGTACCTGGCGCCGGCTGAGCACGACGTGACACTTTGCGTCGACCTTTTCAATCATGCTGCTCACCACACTCCCCCACTCACCACATGTCGCCAACTATTGATGCTAGTCAGATTTGTATTTCATTGTATTTGACTCCAGGAGCACACAGCTGTCCACAAATGTTTCAGCATTGGAGGACCATTTTGAACCCGTTCAACTGTTGGGCGACGAAGTAGGTGCCGACGGTGAGTTTCAGGCGCCACAAGGGGAGTATGCTGAATGTCACAGCCACTTGCTGAAAATACTTGAAGGTCGAATCAGTTGAATGGAAAACTTACAGAACCCCCATAATACTGAAGGCAAAAGCCCTGGTTCCTTGTAGATGCCTTAGCAAATCAAACAATGTGGAGTTCATTAACCTGGGAGGTAGGATATGCTGACGAGTGTGTTGAGAAGAAGGCAAAGGAGCGAGGGGTCTACTTCACCAACTCGATGAAGGCCAGGATTGGCTGCAAATCAGCCTGGGAAAAAGATGAATCAGTGTTTAAAGGAGCTGCGGTATGACCAGTCTCTAAGAGGGCCTTTAGCAACACTCTCAGAGGTTCTCGAGCGATTTCAAGATCCCGACAAGCAGATGGAGGGTGGCAAAGGCGTGCTCAGGACATTTTAAGTGCTGGCTTCCTTCCTAAACGATGGCTCAAAGGGTTGTGCAGGTGCCACTTCCTCCACCGTGAGTGTAAAGATTCATTGGCTAGACCTGTGCTCTTCATCACTTTGTGGCCTAGTTGGCAAACGGTTCACTTTTACAGTGTTGGATTGCACAGTGACAGATTTGGCAGATTTGGGTTTGATCTTCCAAGCCCTTTTTCCCTGACATGCTGTCGATGGTTGTCAGACTGAAGGCCAAAGGAGTGCCAAGGCGCCACGGCCAGCTGCGTGGGAGAAAGAGCTGGATATGTCTCCAAACTCCAGACAGATGGGCCCCCAGACACCGCTCTCCACTGCAGCTCTCCACATCCCCAGTTCATTGCTGAAACAATTTTCAACGAAGTTTCAAGAATTTTTACCAGCTGACCAGCAAGCTCGTGTCTTCTTTTCCTTCTGACGCTTTCAGCTGCATTTCTTTTCATTATTTGCCTGTGTACCTGGCGTGATTTGGTTCAGAATGATACTCCGGACTTGATGCTCAAATGTGTGATGAATGCCCAAATCCTGTTTGTTGGTTTTCAGATTGCACATTGCAGAAGTGTCATTCTAAGGAAAGCTCGACAGCAGAACTATGCGATGGACTCTGCAAAAACTTTGTGGGAACAGATCAAGGTCAGAGTCGTTTCGGCAACATTTGTGTCCACTGTCTCCCACTGTCTCCACTTGCAAAGCTTGAGCTCTGGGAGTGAACCAACGGTCCTGTGCGTTTTGGGTTCTTGAGGCGATCTGTGATGATATCTTAAGCGCAGCACTCAGCTTCACTGCATTGTTGTATTTCCACTGTCATAGGCAACCAGCCATTTGATGTGTCTAAAGTGCTGTCTTCAGCCATGATTGGAGTCTTATTTTCTTCGACAATTCTCGGTCTCTTGTGTTCAGCAACTTCAAAGCTTCCTTTCCTGCCAGATCCGCTTGACTGAATCGCCGCACCTGTACAGAAAAATGCCATTAGATTTCAAAATTGAATTTGCAGTCTTGACTCCCTCGACCCAATGACAATGGACTAGGTTTAGCGAATTAAAGTGTTTTCTTTGCTGCAAGAACATGTGATTGAAGGCGACCTTGCTAGCTCAACCAAAACAGGTCGAGGAGTCAGAAATACAGCGCCAATGTCCTTACATCAGCATGGATACTTCGTCGAAATGGAGGCCAAAAAAGTCACTTCCATGACTCCCATATGATCATTGATCTTTGCTTGACATGGTTTGCTTCAACGGCCTCATTCATCTACGTGTTTTAGTTGAAGTGGCCGGGCATGCCGGTACAAGCAAAAAGCACCTGTAGCTGACGAACAAGGCCTCGAGAATCTCTATTTGCCAAGGCAGTAAAAAGCTTGTGCTCAAGTCCAGTTGAAACAGGTTGAAACATGCTTTGTGCGCAAAGCAACAGATTGATTTGGAGTTGGCTCAAGCGAACCGAGTTTCGCTTGCAGATTTGCCATTGGAATTGCCTTGTTTGTGCAACACTTCGCATTGGCTCAAAGCCTTTCCAGACGTCCAAGCTTGCAAGCAATGCTGGTACAAGTTGATGCGAGTTTCAGAGTCTTCAGATCTTCAGCTGCTTTCTTGTCAGAACAGTTTGGTATGATCACAATAGTCTGTCCGAGTCTGTCCCCCCTGTACAATTCCAGACTGGGAAAGGGTTGATCACTTGCACCATCAACTCCTTCGCAAAACAACGGAATAGACACAGAAAGTAATACTGGCAAAACCGCCGGCCATGAGCCAAAGGCAACACTGTACTACTGTGGTCTTTCTTTCGAGGTAGTGACAACCGATCGATTCCTATTTGGGTTGAAGCTTTGCGCTTTGGCTTTCATGATGCGTGCCAACCTGGCCTTGGAACTACCAACCTGTTTCCTGCCTGCATCCTTCCCAAAATGTTGGAGCATCTCCAACAAAACGCTGTGAATGAGCAACAGGTTTTGATGTACACTGGAAGGTGTTGTTGATGTTTTGACATGTTCGTGCGGTTCTTATGTTTGAAAGCTTGACATCAGTGAGGGCAACACTGGTACTGGTAGCGGAAACTATTGGAGACTGTGACAGGATACTCATTTTTAATCCTGAGGAGCAATGCCCTTAGCCCACCAGTCCGGATGCTTGGCACGAACGCTCGTTGAAACCTCACTCGGTCTGCAGAGAAACTAGCAAGATTTTGTCGTGTCGTTGGTGTGCTGAAGATACACATGATGACGGAGGTTTTTCCAAGAAAATTCCAAATGCTTTGGCTGAGCCAATTTCCCTCCCTTGACCACTCAGAGTCGGAAACGTGCGCTTGAATGTCCATCAGAAACAAATTTTGAAACGGAATCGGGCACTTTGCACTGTCCGGAGTTGTCCGGCGCGGTTTGAGGCCTTTCAAGGTCTGCCCTGACGTGGAACTCATCAGCTTGGCCCCTCAATGGCCCCAACTTTGAATCTCCGTGATTTGAGCGGTAACTCCAGTGGTGCTCGCTGCTAGCAGTCCGACTGTCCCTGATTTACCGCTTTGGGATGCAATACGTTGATGTACTTGCGAGATCTAGGCTCAGCCCGTGGTAAGATAAAGCTATGCTCAGGGCTAGTTTGCTGGCATTGACACAGGATTGAATCGAGTACTGACAGAAAGTGATAGGGCATGACCTATTTTTCAATTCCATTGACCAGAATGGTAGGTACGTGTCTTTCCAAGGCATAGGCTTCTGCAGAGGTACAAAAACATGAACTTGCTTCTGAAATGAAACACCAGGCTCTCAACATTTCTCAACTCTGCCCAGGCAAGAAATTTCTCACCTTTGAGGACGCGGAATTGTTGCGTGTTTCCGTCCATTGCCGCCAGAAATTGCTGCAATTGAGACTCAGGATGCTGCGGATCTTTTGGCCAATGGGGTTGGGTGCGAACCCAAATAAGCTGAACATTGACAAGCTTGCCATGTTTGCTTCCAACTTGGACATGCTTCAAGACTTTCACCAAGGTGTCGCAAGATACAAAGCGATTCCGCCGAGGATCTTCTTCGAGTGTACAACTTACTCGATGATCTTCTTCTGCTTAGCATTTTGGAACAAGTAGTGGAAGTTGCACACGAAAACGAACAAGTCGAGACACATTTTTCCGTGTCCTGCAAACTTATCCAAGCGAGCAAGAACGCTTCTGCTTGTAAGTCTTGTACTTCCAACAGTTTATTTGATATGGCAGTGTGTCAAAACCTTGTACCCCTGTAGTTCACATCAAAATAGCTGAGATTTATGGATGTTCATCCCCCTAAAAATGGTATTTTCATAGGTATTGATCCATACCCATGTAATTTCTGGCATTTCTTTTTTTAGCTCGTTGTCGCAGGCAAGAGAATCTCTCGAAGTGCCGGGCGCTGCGAATTGCTCAGTCTCCGAGCTTTCAGAGAAATGTTCGCATTCTAGATTTGCTTCAAGTGCCTGCCAAAACATAGGTACCAAACAACCATCGTATACCAGTCTCAGCTTGCCAACAGTTTTTTTTTCCTTCGAGCCTTTGGCGGTGCTGAGTCTCTGATCTCTTTTCAGAGCATCGAGAAGATCGTGCAGAGCCTCCAAGAGGAATGGGTGTGCAGCTCAGATTTCTGGATGCCGCAATGATGGTGCGATATGCTGCGATGCTTCGTGAGCTGCACATCTGCACACGATCTGCACATGATGCCTCCTAAGACGACTTGGCCGAAAAAACTTCGCCTCAAGCGCAGTCCCTTTTTGCTGGCGCGCTTGGCTACGTTTAGTTTGTCTACAAGCCGAATTCACATCCAACGAGCATCAATCAAGTCAATGTTTTTTCAGATTTGTTGTGGCAGGTCACAGGTCGCCAGAAGCCTAACGTGGTCTTGTTTGTTTAGCTGATGCTATTGCTGAGATGGTGCCTGGTGAACCAGCAGGGCACGTCGAGCCCAGGTTTGGAAATCAACTTGCATCCAGTCTACCTGGGAGATCTGGGACCGGACCTGAGTTTGATGTAGCGATTGGGCAGGAACTCCATAGTATTTCTGGTTTAGGGGAGGCATTTCCTTCTGAACCTTGGCAGCGAAGGGTAACATGTATATCATTTTCAAGTATGAAGATTTGCAGAAGTCTTGAATCTTATTGCAATGTACACAAGTACATTCTGAAGCTTATCCTCAACCTTGACCTCTCAGACGCTTCTTGATTTGCCCTCCCTGAGCCTTCTGTTCTCAGGGGTTGGTTTGCGCGGTCAAGCGGGCACACTGCTCCATCGTTCGTATCCTAGTAGAGGAGCAATGGAGTTGTTTGGCAAGGTAATTGGCAGGTTGAGTACAACAAGGACCTCTACACCCCCAAAACCACCTTTTTTTTTTTTAACATTTGGTCTTCAGTGAATGCGAGAGCCAAACTTTGAACCTCATCAATCTGCAAAGGGTACGTCTTTGAATAATACCGTAGAAACGAAGACTTTGCACACACATAGGTTCGGCACTTCAATGGTGTTGGTAAGAAGAATAGAGCTGGATGACATGCTGCCAAGGGTGGGTCGAGGAGCTTCAATGCCCGGATCTTGAAGTGTGAATTGCGCATGTTGAAGGTTTATTTTGATAAACACCCAGCGTACTTGGGAGGAAGTGGCTGTTGAAGGCATGCACACCAGCCGTTTATGAAGGTGTGCTTTCTTGCTTCATTCCTGTGCATCCAAGTTGCCCCTCGCTGTTGCCAAGAGAATCATTGAGTTTCAGTTACCTTTACTGAACTCTTCTTGCAGCATTTCCATATCACTAAGGCATTCCATTGGGTTTCAAGGAGATTTCACCTGTAAGGCCCTTAGTCCGCGGCTGACAAGTGATGGGCCTACAAATTTGGTGGCACTCAAGTACTGTTTTTGGGACTGGGTTAAACAATCAGCGGGATAGTTCTTGCAACTGCCTCACCTAGGTCGGCAAACATGGTGCAGTTGCCTTGCCCCAAGAGCCCAAGATGACTCACTTGAACAGCTGGGTGTATGTTTAGCAGCAATACTTCGATTGCTGCTTGGACAAAGGTGGCTGCTTCACCCTTTGTGCATTTCTACGTGCACTTCAAGGCTGTTGGATTTGCGCCCAAGAAGGTGCGACAAGCTTAGACGCTGCAAGGGCGACCATCCTGATGTCTGTTTCAAGACTTCATCCTGACATTAAGAGACTGCAAGGAAGGTCTAGTGCAGACTTTCAGATCTACTGAATCTACTGCTTCTAGATGCGTCAGGGAGACTGGTTACGTGGACGAGTCTGCGAAGTCCAGATCGAGGCAGAGCGGTAGAACATCCTAACCAGTGAGAAGTCAGTGTTTGTGTCAAATGGATTCAAATGGATCTTGTGGCAGCTACCTGGGTTGACCAAAACAATCTACTTTGAGTGTCATTGAAGATTCGTCTCTGAGCGCAACAGCAGAAGGAAGAACCAAGATATCAGTTATAAATCATGTTGGAAATGAACTCGCAGTAAGACTTGGTGACTACCTCATCGGCACAAAGGGGAAGCTTTACACTTGTCACCATTGGCCTTAGTCCGCAAAGGAGCAGAATACCCCGAACGCATGTGTATCCGTTGAGACAGTCACGGACATGAGCACAGTTGTGCTTTGGGGGTGCACATTTCTGAACCTCCGGCACCAGGCTGGCTTGAATGTGACCTTGGTGGGGTTGGCAAATTGCCATGTGCTGGGCTCGAACATGAACTGTAAACAATACCTGTGAGACATATATGGAGTGCAAAGGGCATTAGCGGATTCTAGCAGCAACAGCTAAGACTGGTTGGGAAGGGAACAGAAAGCGAAACGATACGGTATCTAACGATACAAATGGTTTTGATTTGTATTGCAAAGCAAGAAAGCGTTTTGTGAAGGCGTAGAAATGCTGAGAGATGGCTTTGAACCCAAATCTGGCACCGAAGTGTCTCTACTTGTTGTGAAATTCGCTGAGATCGCATCCAAGCATTTGCCGCGGGCTTTGAGGCCGAGTTTTTCTATGATCTGTGAGTTGTGTTGGCTCAAATTTCAGTGTTATGCACTTTGGAACGGACCTTTTGAACCTGTAGCTTACAGAGGATTTTCGGGAACAGGGGAGCAACCATTGGACAAGGTTCTGCAAGAAAACCAAGCGATGGTTGGGATGGCAAGATGAGGCTGGTGTCAGATGGTTGAAGGATGTCAGATTGGCTGAAGGTCAATTCTGATTGTGGACATCTTGAGCCGTACAACGTTTGCTTCCTGCTGCATTGCGTCCGAGGAGAATGGGAACTCGGAAGATGTAAGCCAGCCAGTGGTCTGGGCCATGGTTTTGCTGTGGTTGAGATCACAAAGCAGCTGCTTCTTTGCAAACCTCTCGGCCCTGTTGCAACTGAACAGAAACCCAGCAATTCTTGTGTCCGGACCCATCTTGGAATTCAGGCTCAGAGAACGCCTTGATAAATGACATCACTACAGAAATGCTCCCTAAACCAGTATGGCGAGGTCTTGCGGACTTGACTCTTTTCAAATCTTTTGATTCCGAGCCCATGCATTTCGACATTGTGCTTTCATGGTCTATTATCCGTCACCTCTTTGCTTAGAATATCTTAGAATCATGTCTCAGCATGCAGTTGGAAAAGCGGAAAACCAGGCGCAATTGTGAGCTGCCAGAACTGTTTCATGACACAGGCTGACATGGACAGGTCAAAAAGTAGCGAGTAGAGCTGACTTGCAAAGAAACTAACCCATTGGTTTGTCGGAAAATGGGGTATTCCCCCCTGGACCAATGGTTCGTTATCATTTTCTGCATTAGCCGTTTGGGGGTACATATCCCGTTTTTGGATACACCCACATTTTTAAACAACATCCGTCACTTTTGGCCACGCAGGGAGCTTCCACATGGTGGGGAGCTTGCAGATTGCTCGCCTGCCTGACCAATATCTTCATGATCGATCCATGGCTTAACCACTTTTCTAGGAGAGAGAAGACAGCCAAGTTGATTTTTACATCATCCTGGATTTGCTTGATGTCCGAGTGAACATGCAGAAGGGGTTTTGGATGGTTGCCACTTGCACTTGTCATTGTGGTCTTCATTTGCTAAGATCGGCATGTATCTGGAGTACCTTTGGGCAGCAGATTGGCCTGAACTTCCTGCGCATTGCACGAAACCCAGTTTTGTGACCTCACCTCATTGACCCATATTCATCAAAAAAAAGCAAAATACAAAATGTCAAACAACAACTCATCCCAAGAATCAGAAACAAACGACAGACAGATTGGGGACTTACAAACGCATCAGGAAATATCAGGAATATGTAGTTGAATGTGTGTTTTTATTTTGAGCTATTCTTTTTAACAATTTTTATAGTGTTCTTCGATTGATTTTGCATTTGTATGGGACTTATACTCACAAACCCAGTCGGGGGTTCTGGGCTTCGCTTGTCCTTTGAGGCGAATACCGCAGTACCCTGGCATGGCTGGACTTGGCTGATTGCTTTCATCGAGCCTCGGCGTTGCTGGTTGCTGTCGCCAGTCTTTTGAAATCCTTAGTTGATTTATGTTGATTTCACATGATTTCACATGATTTATACAATCACATCGGCACATCGGTTTGGCTGCTTGCGCTCTCATAGTAGCGAAACAAAAACAGCAGGTTTTTGTGCAGGACAGAATGCAGGTGTGATGGGGTGCCATTTTGGCTCAAGAAACCCCACACACCTGCAAGATGAATCTTTTTTGCCTAGTTTTGCTTGGGTGTGCGGGCTGCAATGTTTCCGTCCCAGACTGCTGCCATGCAACTCACCTCCGTGACGGCGGTGAAGGAGCACTACCAACTTCCAGACCCTGTTTGGCGGTCCTTCATCGAAGTATGTGGCGATCCCAACGACGACCTCAAGCTGTTGGCAGTGCTTCCTCCAAGGATAGTGGCAGCTTCACTGGAACGAGCTCAACTACCAGATGGGGGCTACCTATCGGCCATCCAAGCATCCCATGTGGGCCTTGTATACAACCTGGCACGTCGTATAGTGCACACCCGAGGAGGGGGCGACTGGGACAGTTGGAAGGAGTCCTCCCCTTTTGGAGATCAAGTTGCACAAGGGCCCGAAGGTTCCATTGCACAAGGACCCGATGCGCAGGCCACCTCAAAAGCCGAGAGGAAGCTGAAGATGAACAACATCATCGACCAGGCAGACGATGGCGAATTCACGGTGCAGAACGAGGACACGAAGGCTGCCTGGTATCAAAGATACCTCGAGGTTGTTGGAGGGTGGCCCCAAGAGGAGGAAGAACCCACAATGGAACAATTGTCAGGGGTGCAGAGGAGGCTGCAAATACAGGATACAGCCCCTTATGTGGACTTTGCCATTTTCGTCCCCTACGGCTCGAAGGCTTTGAGAGCAAGCAAATTCAGAAACTACACCCTGACGGCGAGCGGCTACACCACCAAGGATCTGCCAGGTCCATCGGGCTTCATACAGTGGAGGGCTTGCTTCCGGATTCTACGCACGACGCTCATCATGCTGGATGCGGTGACGTTGGCAGCCCTCCACAACTACGAAGCTCATGTGGAGAGGCTCACACGAACATTTCCCACGGCATGGCACCTCGTATACAGTGCCGACGAGCTGGCAAGGTCGAGCCATTCAAACAGGTTGAGATCGCAGCTCCTCATGGACCTGAAGGGTGGAAAGTCGGCCCCAAGAAACTGGGACCATGCCAGACCATGGGATTGGGTCTTTCAACAACTGGTCCTGGACGACGCCTTCTGGCAGACGCAGGTGGTTGGGCCAGCCCTCACATGGCTGGCAGCAGGGAGTCGGGGTACTCCCAAGACCCCATCGGAGCAGCTTGCGATGAGCTACATGGAAGGGGGCCTCAAGGCAATCACTCCAGCAGCGGACACGAAGAGACAGCATTCGAGGTCCACTTCAAGGACGTGGCGAAGGAAGAAAAGAAAGAACAGACAAACAGAAGACCGAGGCTCCCCAGAGCCAAAAGGCTCAGGAGACGGAGGAGGAAAGAAAGGAAAGAAGGGCAAAGGAAAGGGCGGCACAAAACAAAAGTGCTTCAGCTGGAACAATGGTACACCGCCCTGCGGAGGATTATCACCGGGGCAAACGTGTGCAGGAAAAGTCCAGCGCTTGCATCGCTGCACGGTCTGCAATTCACCAGGCCACCCATCCAAGTCCTGCCCAAATCGAATGCAGGAGTGAACAACCATGGAGAAGGTCACGACGGCGAACGACAAAAGAAGGAAGAAACAAGCGGCAGCAAAGGCGGCGATTCAGATTACACCTACACCTATAAGACTGAAGAGGAAGACGACCAGAAGGATGAAAAGCAGGGAGACGAAGAGGACAAAGACAAGAAGAGGAAGGACGAAGAAGGGGGCGAGAACAATGAAGAGCCCATAGATGCCGACTCTCTGGATGACTACTTCAGGAGAAGAACCTTCATCTTTGTCCACCACTTCGCAGGCCCTGAAGACCCACTTACAGAAGCCATGCTGGTCGAGGCATCGAAGAGAAAGGTGCTCCTCAAAACCATCAGCGTCGAGAAGGACAAGGGCACGGGGGACCTTCTCAAAGATGAGCCATACGGCACTCACCTCAGATGGGCGAAGCGGGGCTACATCGATGCCTTTCACAGCGGTTTCCCCTGTGCCACCTTCAGCCGATTGAAGTTCAGGGAGGTGGAGGGCCTACCTGGCCCGATTCGCACCAAAGAGGAGCCCTATGGGAGGAAGTCCAACACGGGGCGAGAACAACAATCATGCGATGACGGAACAATCATGGCATGCAGATCCATAAACATAGCTAATGCGGTGGCGGACAAGAAGACCGAGACGAAGGTTAGACCCATCGCGACCTTAGAAAATCCTCCCGAGTCGGACCACCCACAACATTTGTCGGCATGGGAGCTCCCCGAGATGAAGGAGTTCACAAAGAGAAGCGGCAGGAGGGTGGCCCTGTTCAATACCTGTGCCTACCAGAACCAAACACCCATTGGGAACAGGCACTTCAAACCTCAAAAGTTTGTGGGCACCCTCATGGGCATCGAACAACTCTGCAAACGTTGTGGGTGCGGTGGATTTGCAACACATGATGCCATAATAGGTCCACAAAAGTCGAAGGAGTCGGGAAGGTATCCAGACGAGTTTTGCGAGGCCTATGCAAAGCTCGCCATCCAACATCTGATACTCATGGGCAAGGAAGAGTACCTGAAGGAACGCATGACGAAGCTGGGAGACACCATAAGAAAGAGGAAGGCAGAAGTGGTCGAATACAACACACTACGACGGCCAAGCCGCAGCCCTCTGACGAGAAGGAGGAGAGAAGCAGAGGAAGAAAGAGCGAAGAGAGAGGTGGACGTGGATCATAGCAGCTCTCCAGCAAGACCCGCGGGACACAACAGCCCGCCACCGACAAGGCCAAGGTCGAGGTCCCCGAGAAACAAAAGGGTAGAGCTTAAACCAAACCAGAACAAAGGTTGGATCGAGGGCGAAGGAAAATACGGCTCGCTCAAGGCCCAAAAGTCCAAAGCAGAAATGAGGGACCCTGCCGAGTTCGTTGGGGGCATGCGTAACCCCTATGAGACGGTGGTGGCAATGTCCAACCTGCTCTCCTTGGGCATCCGAGTCAGAGCGGCTTGGGAGGCCTTTTGCAGGCAGAACAAGGGGGCGATGACCGTTGCAGAGCAGTACGGCACGAAGGAATGCTGGATGGACAACAAGCTGCTACAAAACTGGAAGGGGCACCTCAAGAAGGTGTTGGGTGCCAATGCACCACCAGCGGTCAAAATGACCCCACGGTGGGGCTACGTCTCACCTCTTGACCCGGAGATCTTTGAGGCTTGGGTGACTCGCGGCAATGACCCGGAGGTGCACGTCAGCGATTGGATCCGTCGAGGAGCCCCTCTGGGAATAGAGTCTCCTATACCCACAGCCGGAATCTTCCCTCCAGCGGAGGCAAACAACATGGATTATCCGGGGCAACAAGAACTTGAAGATGCCGCAGGACAACTCAGCAAAGGGCATCTCACCAACTATTCAAGCGTCCAGGAGAACATGGAGGAAGCGAAGGTGGAGCTTGACAGATATCGCAAAGCAGGTTTCATGGTCGACGTCAAGAAGGAAGTGGTGACCAAAGAGATGAAGCATGGCACCATCAGCAAGCTGGGGCTGATCATCAAGCACAAACCAGAAGGCATAAAACGGAGGATAATACTGGACCTCCGCCGGTCGGGAGGCAACAAGAAAGCCACCTTGCCGGAAAAGCTGGTCTTACCACGCCCCAGAGACTTCCTCAACTCCATCCGGTCGGTGTACGCTATGCAGCGAGCCCACGGTCGAGACGAAGGCTACGCTCGGGAGCTTGCTGTCATCGACGTCAGTGACGCCTTCATGTCCCTGGCCGTAGATGAAAGGGAATTGCCGCATACCTTGGCGCCGAACATAGAGAGTGAAGACTTCTACATGTTCGTGGCCTTACTGTTTGGCTACAAGACGGCGCCGCTCTTATGGAGCAGGGTAGCGGCTTTGCTATCCAGACTCATCCAGTCGGCTGTGCCGGGTTCAGTGGGGCAACACCAGACCTACCTGGACGACGCGGCCTGGGTTCTTCAAGGGTCTCTGGCCGAAAGAAACGAAACCCTCGCCTTCATCCTGTACACGATGGCAGCCTTAGGCTTCCGCATCTCCCTTCAGAAAGGGATGCGGTCCACCCAAGTCACATGGGTGGGAGTCCGGTTCACTGTCACCCCTGACCATGTCATCATTGGCTTGCCGGAGAAGTTCGTGACAGAGCTGGTCGAGCTATTGGAAAGCTGGCACAACAAAGGTATGGTGGCCATCAAGGAACTCCGACAGGCAGCAGGGAGGGTTTCATGGATGTCAGGGATCCTCCCGAGGACCAGATGGGTGGTGGCCACATTTTACAAGGTTTTGCACGAGAGGCTCAACGATGTGGCCACGGGAGCAGAGGCCATCAGGCGTTCGAACCGCCAAGACACGAGGCCAAAAGACCATCTGTTCGCGGTCAAGCAATTGGAACAACCGAGACAATGGTTGGTGACCTACTTGAGGGCTGCGCTGTTGAAGCCGACGCGCAAATACAAGCTGGACATCGGGAAATACCCGAAGGCCACCATAGTGACGGATGCCAGTCCACTTGGACTGGGAGCCATCCTCCTTGTCAACAACAAAGCGACGAGAGCCCTGGCCTTCAAGGTGACGGAGACGGATGCCCACCAGCTAGGCTTCAAGGACTGCTGGAAAGAGGCCGGCTCCCAAGGCATCGTTGAAACCCTGGCGGTGCTGGTCGCAATCAAGACATGGATGAAAGAATTGGCCTCCTGCCAAGTGGAGCTCAAGGTGCAGAGCGACAGCATGGTGGCGTTGGCCGTCACCCAGAGGCTCTCGAACTCCACCTCTTCCCTGAATTTCTTGGGGGCAGAGATAGCCGTGCAGTGCGAGATTGCGGGTGTGGAGAACTTGAAGGCTTCACACATTCCAGGGGCCGCAAATGTGGCAGCCGATTGGTTGAGCAGGCCACAGAAGGAGGCCACCACGGCCATGCCCCCGGAGCTCGAAGGAGTTCCGATCTGCAGGGATGAGGAGCTGCGGGTGGCAGACTACTACAAGCTGCCTACGCCTGCCAGCGCCCCTGCACTTTGGTTTTCCGGCGCTGCGGCCAATGACATTTGGGCCAGCATGCGCTGAAGTCGGCACAGGGCCGAGACTGATTCTCCCCACTTGTTCGCAAAAGGACAAACGCGACGGTGGGGCGTATCAAACACCGTGCATATGGCACAAAGGAACCATTTCACTTATTTAATTTCATGTCCTATCCACCTCTAGGCTCAAACATGGAGCTGGTGCTCAGCTCTCACCCGCCGCCGACAGTGGCGAACATTGTGCCATGGATCCCAGCATATGGCTGGGTAGAGATCGGGGTCGTGGCGAGCGGTCTCTGCCTCTTAATGATCAGCCTGCTCTACTACATGAAGGGCTGCGGTCGTTTTTGTGCACGGGCAGCACAGACCCACCAGAGAGGACAGAGGGGCTGCTCAAGTTCCTCAAGACCCCTTCCAATCGCGCGGTTCCCCATGGAGGAGACAGACCTGGCGACGTTTGTAACGAGGAGAACATCGATCTGGAGAAGGCATCAACTGGCTGGGAGCGACGTGTTCCTCATGCTGGATTGAAGTACAGCAACACAAGCAGTCGGTCTCAACCCATCCTGTCTCAGGGGCCAGCACCATCCGAACCTTCAGACACGGAGGAGAACCAGATGGTTGGGCCTTTTCCTGCAGCCTATCAAGGATACGAAGGTTTCGCCACAGAGACATCTCCGAAGTTTCCTCCATCGCCTCCACGCCAGCTAAGCCCTGAAGGCAAAGCTACAAGTGGCTCCACAACCGAGAAGGATGAGAAAGGCCCGTGGTGGAGGGAACTCCTGGCCTCACCAGTCAAGCGTCTGAAACTATCAGGCTGGACTTCATCATGGAAAGACCAGCCACCAGCGCTTGATCTACCATCTACAAACATTGAGTTTCCCATCGTAGAGGACACGAAGGTTTCATCAATCCGAAAGCCCCGTGCGAAGGAGAATGACGCTATGCACAAGCGGGCACCGCACAGACCAGACCTGGCACCGAGATCTATGGGATCGAGTAGAAAGAAATGCAACAGGGGCCAAGCGGTCGGGCTAGCCAAGAATAAAGCCCTGCGCAGCCGAGCGGTAGCCAACATAGTGGCCTCCTACTACTCCAATTCCTCCATCGCAGCCAAGAATTCCAAACGAAAGATGGTGGACAAACTGCTCAAGGCCGCAAACCTCAGCTTTCCCCTGACCCCGCTACACATCAAGACCGTTGCGGGCGCACTCAAGGAGGCGGGATATAAATCCACCTTCTCCTATCTGATCGAAATGAAAACGATGCACATCGAGCTGGACTACCAGTGGACTTCCCTTTTGGACAGACATTTCAAGCTGTGCATGGCCGCTGCAAAGAGAAACATGGGCCCCAGGAAGAAAGCACCAGAGGTCCCTGAAGACACCTGGGCCAATCGGTCGCTCCTTGAGGACCCCAGCGACTTCGGCACGAAGGTTGGCCTGGCTGCACACCTGTTTGCCTGTGGAGTTCACTGGATGATGCGTGAGATCGAGATCGCCAACTTGTCGGCGAAGGACATCAAGTTCGATTCGCGCAACAGATTGGTGACGGTGCTCTTTGTCAACTCAAAAGGAGACCAAGAAGCCCGAGGTGTATCCAGGACGTTGCAATGCATCTGCAAAGAGGGGTGCACCCTCAAGTGCCCCTACGCAGTCCTGGAAGTGTTGGTCAACTACGCCGGCCTCAAGGGATCACCAAACGCTATGATCTCGACGACGGCAGACGGCAAACACCGAGCCACAAAGAAGGACCTGGTGGACTCCTGGCGCGCCCTGTATGGCCAAGACATCACAGGTCACTCTGCCAGGCGATCGGGTGCCTTGCAGTACATCCGGAGAGGCTGGGCAGTCAGCCAGGTCGGATACCTGGGGCGGTGGAAAAGCAACATCATATTAGAATACGCCCAGGAGGCCTTGGAATCGATGGCGGTGAATGCAGGCATAGCCTTCGGGCACTGCGACTACCTGAAGGACCCCTCGACGGTGGAGAAGGAAATCTCTTCCATCGGCAACCGCCAACCGATCGCTCCAGAAGCTCATGGGCACGAAGGTCATGAAGACAAGCGTGTCATCGTCTCCAAGTTGGCTGCCGAGCTCAGGCTACTCAAAACGGAGTCCAAGGACGCTGTCAAAGGATTGAGCAACGCGATCAAGGACCTAGAGGTAAAGCTGGGCAACAACACGAAGTATTTGCCTCCGATGGTGAGATCAGGGAGATACCAAATCATCCACCGAAACTCCAAAACTCTGGTCTACGCACATTCAGCGATGTGGAAGACGGTATGCGGCTGGAACTATTACGGCTCCACCTACGAGTTTGTCGAAGGGGACGTGACGATGGTGACATGCACCAAATGCCAAGCGACCGCGCTGAGCAAGGAGGAATGTGTTACGGTCGAAAGAGACTGAACACTTTGGGTGTTGCAGCTGCCATCTTTATCAGCTGCAAAATTCGATGACACAGCAGCTGAGGCAATCCAACACCACTCCAAAAAGGCAGCGCCGTTTGCAGCTGTGGGGTTGGGATGGATGGAATCTTTACTCCCACATAACACTGCATGTGTCGCGAAACAAAAACAGCAGGTTTTTGTGCAGGACAGAATGCAGGTGTGATGGGGTGCCATTTTGGCTCAAGAAACCCCACACACCTGCAAGATGAATCTTTTTCCACACCCACCCGCCCTTTTGGGTGAGGAATGTGTTACGGTCGAAAGAGACTGAACACTTTGGGTGTTGCAGCTGCCATCTTTATCAGCTGCAAAATTCGATGACACAGCAGCTGAGGCAATCCAACACCACTCCAAAAAGGCAGCGCCGTTTGCAGCAGTGGGGTTGGGATGGATGGAATCTTTACTCCCACATAACACTGCATGTGTCCCTGCTGGCACACGTGAGCTTCCAGCACTATGAGCGTAGTCTACAGGCTACACCTTTTCTCATGCCATGCTGCGGGGGCAGAACCTCACTATCTTCGCATTCGCATGAGCCTCAATGTCGCCTCAATGTCGCCTCAATGTCGCTGCTCAGAAGTTGTTCTGCGCCCTGACACTTCGTTTGGGTAAGGTAGGAGCGTTGGTGGCGGCGTGTCTGACCATGGTTGAGCATCAGCGTGTGAGGCAAGAGAATAACTGTAAGCAGATGCGAGACCTGCAGGAGACATGACTGCCATGATGGATCAAAATGCTCCTTAGATTTCCCATTTGTATCCATTTGTAGGGTTTTGAGAAGTAACTAAAGCACAGGTTCTTAGCTGTGTGTCCCTATGTATGTCATTGCGTATCAAGGCGGCTCACGAGCTTGCTGAAGCTGCACGCAGTTAAGGTCTCTAGACTGGCATTTGATCTTGTAGGTGGTGCCCAAGATTTGAACCTGTCTGAGTAGCTGTAGCACAACTGAGGCCAGCGGTGCTGAAGATCCGGTGTCTCAGCGATGCAGCACGAATTATGGTATTAGTGAAAAAAGCAGTAGTAGTTAGTTACTGTTGATCAGCAATAATAACATCAATCATGATGATAATCATAATCAAGATGATAGTAAAATCATCATGATAGTGGCAACGATGAATGATGATAAGGGCAATCATTGCGATCAAAACAAATGTTTTGAGCTCCTTCTTTTCAAAGGGAGACATTCAGTGCCTAGGCGCAGCAGTGCTTGAAGTACCTCTCTGTTTATTCTCGTCTGATGGATTTGGCGTTTCCTGGCGTCCTCCTTCTTGTGCCCTTGGCTTCGCTGAGCTTTTTGTCTTCTTTCCGCCAATTGCGCAATTACGCACGTGGTGCCCATTTAGATTTTCCCGGCAGAACCGACCTGTTGATTCTGTTGATGTCCACAGGTACCTTTCAACCTGGAGCGCCGCTTGACTTCATTTCAGCAACATCTTGATTTCACACTACTTGCAGGAAATCTTCCAAGACGTGTCGATCATTTCACACGGTTTATTTTTCGGTGTATTTTTAATGAAGAGTGTCTCAGGTCCTGTAATGCACTATGGATGCACCTTATTAGTCGTCTCTGCCATGGTGGGTGGTGTGGTTGCATATGTGGCTTGGCCAATACCTTTGCTCTACATTTACATCCCTGTGGTGCCAGTCTGAATTTGTTTTGATTGGCAAAGTACAAGAACACCTCACACATCTTCAAATGAACGCTTCAGGGGATTTGATTCATTCTCTCCGCAGGCAACAATGCCACTTGCAGCAGCTGCTGGCCTTTCCGATCAGGAGGACCAATATCGATGGCCATTCATTTTCCCAGTCCTTCAGAATGCATCAGGGTTCTACAATGAACCAGAACCCTTGTTTATCTTGTTTGGCACGGTTTGGTCATATGCAGAGAGATAGTGATAGTGAGAGCAGCTCTTACAGGAGCCAACCAAAGAACTGCATGACTGGGCGAAGAGGCTCCTGGGATGCTGGGTATGGCCTGTCCCGAGCTTCCTGCATTCCTGTCGCATTCCTGTCCCAGATGCCTTGGAGCTGAGGCATCAAAGCTTGAAGTGGAAGGCCAAACACCGTGTTCAGATCAAGAATGCTGGGATATTGATATTGACTAGCCTGCAAAGGACAGAATGCGTTGGCAAACGCGCACTGTTGTAAGCTTTCAGGAGATGCTTGCCCATGTCGCGTGCAAATTTGAAAGGGCTGTCTTGCATTTAAGAACCCTACTTACATCCTTACATCCTCATGAAAGGCTGGAGTCATCATTGCTCTGCACTTTGTGCTTCCAGCAACTGTTCTAGCCTTGGCATGGCCTGGGCTCGTCTTGAAGGATTTCAGCGTTTCACACTGTTTGGGTGTGTCTGAAACATGAGGGATGCATCAAAAAGGCAATCTGTCTGGGGAATATTGGCCAGTGGATGTCATGGGTATAGCCTATAAGCCCATTCTTGGACATCGACGGATCACTCAGGCAGCTGTTCACCACTTCGCTTGGCTGGATGCAACCGGTCGCCTCTTTGGCCTCTGTGAAGTGTCGCTCAGCAGAGTTTTTTCTCAGTTTTCGGTGTTTCTTCATGGTGGAGCTGTTAGGAACTTGTTTTGCTATTGAAGCTGGGTACGAGATATTACGAAAGCCAGCCAAAGGCTAGGCTAAAGTTGTCCCATGCAAACGAAGTGAGAGAGTGGCTGACGAGCGTGTGCAAAATCGCATAAATAGGTGGTGATAAGGGTGTGCCCTTTGGTCATTTTCGCGTGTCATCTAACATGACGCAAATGGGTGACGGTGGGGTATCGATTCCCCCTGGTCCGCATTTCAATGCCCGGTTTGTTCGTATCTGAAGGCTTTAAAACTTCATTGGAAACGGTGCGCTCTGGAATGCTTTGTGCGTCTGTCTCATGAAGTGGATGTGAAAAATGTGTGGGTGAAAAGTCTGTGGGTGAAAACTCCGGGGGTAAAAAGTATATGGTTGAAGACGGATTCCTCCCCGAAGACGGATTCCGAAGACGAATTCCCCGAAGACGGATTCCCCCCCAAAGACGAATTCTGAAGACGAATTTCGCAAAGACGAATTGCCCCCCGAAGATGAATTTCTTTCCGAAGGCGAATTCTGAAGACGAATTCCTCTCCGAAGGTGAAGTGCCCCTCAAGACGAACCGAAGACGAACTTGTCACCAACGACTTTTTCTGAGGACAGCAGTTGACGATTCTTGACCAGTTGGCTTATCAACCCCACGTAATTGGATGGCTGCATTTAGTGTACCAGCATTTGGCGGGCTCAAACCAATACGCCAATGACATGAGCTACACCTGCAAGTTGCGCCCCGATCTTCTCTCGCACTAGCGCGCGCACTTGATGCTACGTTCTAAAGGACCTTTCTTTGCACGTGCGCATGCGCCTGATGCTACGTTGTAGGATCTTTTCTTGCATTTTCCCACACGCTTGATGCTACATTGTAGGATCTTCTCTTGCTTGCGCACATTTGATGCTACGTTCACGATCTTCTTTTGCACTTGCGCGCTTGATGCTACGTTCTATGGATTTTCTTTGCACATGCGCACGCGCTTGATGCTAGGTTGCACTTGTGCACACGCTTGATGCTAAGTTCTAGGATCTTTCTTTGCACTTAAACGCACGCTTGATGCTTGGGTCCAGGATCTTTCTGACACTGTTCCACGCACTTGATGCCACGTTCTGGGATATTCTCTTGCAGTTGCGCGCACGCTTCATACTACGTTCCGTTCCAGGATCTTCTCTTGCACTTGCACCCGCTTGATGCTTCACACTTGAAGCAGTGGAATCCCAAACAAGAAGCGAATTGAAACAAAAGGAAGGGTAGGAAGGAAGTAACGAGCGACACGAAAGACTTGAAATGAAAAGAAGAGGTAACGAATGGAATGGAAGACTTGAAACGAAAGTAAGATAGTAACAAAAGAAACGGAGGAGTTGGAACGAAAGGAATAGGTAACGAACGGAATGGAAGAAGTGAAGCGAAAGTAAGATAGTAACGAAAGAAACGGACGATGTGGAACGAAAGGAAGAGTTAACGAACGGGATGCAAGAATATCACTTTCCCACGCGATTGATTCTATGGTTTCGGCTCCTCTTTTGCACTTGCACACTTTATGCTACATTCAACGGATCTTTCCTTGCACTTGCACACTGGATGCTACGTTCTAGGATGTTTCTTTGCTCACGCACTTGATGCTACAGTCTATAGGATCTTCTCTTGCACTTGCCCACGCACTTGATGCTACGTTCTAGGATCATCTTTTGCACTCGGGCACATGCTTGGCGCAAAGGTCCAGGACGTTCTCTTCCACTTGCGAACTTGATGCTGCGTTCCAGGATCTTCTTTTGCACTTGCACACTTGGTGCTATGTTCAAGATAGTTCTTGCACTTGCACACTTCATCCTGCGTTCTAGGATCTTCTCTTGCCTTTGCACACTTCATCCTGCGTTCTAGGATCTTCTCTTGCCTTTGCACACTTGATGCTTTGTCCCAGGATCTTTCTTTGCACTTGCCCACGCCTTTGATGCTACATTCTAGAATCTTCTCTTGCACTTGCGCACATTTCGTGCTATGTTCTAGGATCTTCCTTTGCGCTTGCCCACGCGCTTGATACTACGGTCTAAGATCTCCTCTTGCACTTTTCCACACGATTGATTCTACGGTATAGGCTCTTCTTTTGCACCTGGGCACTTTATGCTGCATTCTGGGGATCTTTTCTTGCACTTGCACACTTCTTGCTATGTTCTAGGATCTTTCCTTGCACATGCCCACGCACTTGATGCTAAGGTCCAGGACTTTCTCTTGCACTTGCGCACTTGATGCTACGTTCTAGGATCTTCTCTTGCACCTGCACACTTGATGCTGCGTTCTAGGATCTTCCCTTGCACTTGCACACGCAGTTGATGCTATGCTCCTTGTCTCTCATTGACTGATCTGGATGATTTGGAAACAGAATGAAGTGAAGCATCAGTTGGTTGAATGCGAAAGTTAGTTGTGCCCGCCGGAAGTGTGTCTCTTGAAAAAAATGTTTCTGGAAGCTTCGGAGAGGTTTTTTTCGACGTGCGCTGTATGTGCGAGAAAATAATACGATTTGAGACACATGGGCTATGGAAGACATGGTTGGCATACGGTTTGCCACATGATCTTGACTAGCCTGAGCCAGCATGAGGTACCATAAATCCTATTTATCCTACTTCCAAACTTTAAAAAAAGCCGCTTTTCCTGCGACGCCACGCCTATTTTTTTCAAGATTTCAAGTCTGCCATGCATCCCTGGCAGCGCGCAGCCGCTTGCAGCCACTTGCAGCCTCTCGCAGCCACACGAGTGGCCGCAAGTGGCATTACAAGCGAGTGGCCGCAAGTGGCGGCTCCAGAAAATTCCAAGCGAGTGGCTGCAAGTGGCCGCTCCAGACCAATGCAAGGGAGTCGACGCAAGTCTGCTTTCTACGACTTCGATTTCCTCCCCCAAAGCAAGTCTGTATGTGTCGTCAGAGCATGTGTCGTCCCATGGCATCCCCAAGATGTCGTCAGGGGGCAACCCGTCGTCAGGCTATGTGTCAATGCGTCGTGAATAGGTAATGCGTCGTCAGGGGGCAATGCGTCGTCAGGCAATGCACCGAAAGTCATACCCAAGCTCCGGCCACCCTGTAATAGGTGAAAAGTCTGTGGGCGCAAAGTCTGTGGTTGAAAAGTATGTGGGTGAAAAGTTTGTGGGTAAAAAGGGTGAAGAATCTGTGGGTGAAAAACTTGTAGGTGAAAAGTATGTGGGTGAAAAGTCTGTGGGTGAAAAGTCAGTGGGTGAAAAGTATATGGGTGAAAAGCCTGTAGGTGAAAAGTATGTTTGTGGAAAGTCTGTGGGTGAAAAGTTTGAAAAGTCTACTATGGGTGAAAAGTCTATGATGAGTGAAAAGTCCGTGGGTGAAAAGTCTGTGTGTGAAAAGTCAGTGGGCGCAAAGTCTCTGGGTGAAAAGTATGTGGGTGAAAAGTATGTGGGTGAAAAGTCTGTGGGTGAAAAGTCTGTGGGTGAAAAGTCAGTGGGCCGGTGAAAAGTCAGTGGGCCGGTGAAAAGTCAGGGGGTGAAAAGTCTGTGGGTGAAAACTTTGTGGGTGAAAAGTCTGTGGGTTAAAAGTATATGATTATCGAAGGAAGTTTAGAAGTCAAACTTCCGACAATATGGACAGATGAAAAGCAGAGATGGGAAGAGTCAGAGAGAAGAGAAGAGTAGAAGAGAGAAGATCAGAGAAGAGAAAGAGTCAGAAGAAAGAAGATGCAGGTGCGCGAAAAGGTAGGAAAGTCGCGAGACACTTTGTTTTTCCAATGATTTGTGGCAACGGAGGGTCGAAAAGTAGGCTCGCTAAAGCGGCGGGTGCGGAGCCATCTGGCCAGATGAGAGATGAAAAATTGCACGCCGTTGTGGCGCGAAGCACATTTCCAAGTCAAAATGTACAAAGCACCACATGTTCGGAGCACTTTTGGAAGTTGCGCTGTCGAAAAAGTGCACGCCGTTGTGGCGCGAAGCACATTTGCAAGTCAAAATGTACAAAACACTAGGGGTGCGGACCACTTTTGGAAGTTGCGATGTCGAAAAAGTGCACGCCGTTGTGGCCCAAAGCACATTTCGAAGTCAAAATGTACAAAACACACCAGCTCCGGACCATTTTTGGAAGTTAGATGTCGAAAAAGTGCACGCCGTTGTGGTGCGAAGCACATTTCGAAGTCAAAATATACAAAATACACCAAGTTCGGACCACTTTTGGACGTTCAGGTGTCGTTTCGTGTGGCAGGCGCAAGGGATTGTGTGCACCTTCTCAAAAGTGAGCAAAACGGGAGGGTTTTGTAGCATTTCCAAAAACGATGGCAGGCGTGGGACATTTGAAGAGGATCTGCAAAGATGAATTTTCCGTGGCAGGCGCAGTACAAGAGACATGTTCATCAGAGCTGTTAGGAGGTCCGGGCGCTGATTTCCTGAGAGGGGTTGCATTTTGGAGCCTCAGATCTTCAGGTTTGCTGAAATGATTTTGCGTGACAGGTGCAGCACTTCGTATGACCTGGCATCACTTTTTCGTGGCAGGCGCAGTAGTTTAGACAGGTGGACTGGAAAAATCGCAAAACGCATTAGTACGAGGCCGTCAGCGTTGCACGCAACTTTCCAAATTTTTGAAGGACGTCTTGCAGAATTGCTTCGTTTTTGATGTTGTCAAGTTTGAAAATGAAGAAGTCTCGCAGAACTGCTTCGTTCTTCACGTTGTCAAGTTCAAACATTGAGGAAGTCTCGCAGAGTTGCTCCATTTTTGATGTTGTCAAGTTCAAAACCTGAGGACGTCTCGCAGAATAGCTTCGTTTTCAAGCTTGCAGACACACAGGTAGATAGACAGACAGACAGAGAGATAGATAGATAGGTAGATAGGTAGATAGATAGATACATAGTTAGATAGACAGATGAGATAGATAGATAGCTAGATAGATAGATAGACAGATAGATAGATAGATAGATAGACAGATAGATAGAGAGACAGCTAGATAGATAGAAAGATGGATAGATAGACAGCTAGCTAGATAGAAAGATAGATAGATAGATAGATAAATAGATAGACAGGCAGACAGAGAGAGAGAGAGAGAGATAGATGGATACATAGATAGATAGGTGAGTAGGTAGGTAGATAGTCAGAGAAAGAGGCAGAAAGAGAGAGAAAGAGAGGAGACATCAATCACCTTTCGATCCATCAGTGGCTTCGCTCTGCCATCCGTGATTCACAACATCCAACCTCTCCTATAGGTTTCCTATTTTTGAAACTTCCGCCACCGCCTTGTGCGGTACTACTGGTATTGCCTGTTGATGGCACCATGTATTTGCTTTCTGAGATATATCCAAAAATATTGACCATATATTGAGATGTTGATAAGATATCCCCAGCACTCTATACCCTTGATCCCTCCTTCAGTCTGTGGGTGAAAAGTTTGTGGGTGAAAAGTCTGTGGGTGAAGAATCCGTGGGTTAAAAGTCTGTGGGTGTAGATGGGATGCTGGTTTTCGTTCCCCCCTCAGGTCATGATATCATGGGTCAGCTGAGGTCTGCGATTTTGAGCTACCAAATTTTTCTGGCGACTTTTGTTGCCGATGATTTTGCAGCTTCAAAATTTGCCCCGATGCCAAGTCCAACTCGGAAGGCTGTGATACCCTGTCACTGCATAGGTGGTTCGAGTGCCCAGTACAAGTGACTGCTTGAAACACATCCATTACTTGCACTTGTGCGGCAGGTAGCTGCTTCTCTGATTGCTGGGCTATGAGGAACAGTTCTTCAATGTCATACACTTTAACGTCTTGGGAGTTTATTCAGATTATTCAGGTTACTAGATCCTGTGAGAGATCGGAAGCATCTCTCGGATTTTCAGGATTTGCCAACCTCTTACAAGCTCAGCACAAACTACGAAGAGCATGTATGCTAGTCATTTTATGTATTTTTTGTCATTATCTAATGAATAGTTGTTTGAATATACATCTACCGTTTGCACCAAAATCATGAAGGAATGGCTTCTTGGTGGTCTTTCAGAGGCTTGAGCTTTGCCACTGGATTGGGCACAGAGCCAGTCCATTGGTTTTTGAAAACCAACAGTTGAGAGTGGTGACCGGCAGTCTTCCCAGAATGGGAAATGCCGGAAATGGTCTCCGTTGGATCACCGGCGAGTTGGGCCGCGTTTATCTTCTGCGAAGCCTGGCAGTTGGGTTGGACTTTGGCTTGCCAGTGCATACGCACAGCGCCAAGCGTCAACTGACCCATCAGGACTTTGCACATTTTCGTGGGCGATGTGAGCTGCCATTCACTGGCATGAGAGAGTGCAGGGCAGCCGAAACCAGAAGTCTTCTAAGCAAACGCTTTAGGCAATTGACAGCACTTATTTGGTCTGTTGTGTGTCTTGTGTTGCAACGTTAGAGTTTCCTTTTGTCACGCTTTGCCCTGAAGCTTCCCATTTGTGAGAGTCCAAAGGTCATTGCGCAATGGCATGTTGCCAGAAAAAGTGTTTTGTGCTTGAAGGGCCAAAGCAAGCGAGCGACCAGTGACACCAAGCACCAACTCCCAGTTTTTCAGGTTTACGTCAGGGTGGTGGATGACATGGTGGTGGACAAATTCACACAGTCAGGTTGGAGCCACAGCTTGGCTAGAAGAAAGGAGCTGCTGTCGTTTGTGTTGGAAAACAGGCTGGGTATTCCTCATATAAAATATATATTATATATATATAATATAAAATATATATATAATATAATATTATATGACCCTTCATTTACATGCGGCATATTGCAGTTTCGAGGGCCCGAGTTCATGCGCCCCCTAGCAGCTGGAGTGGCCTCAGGAGGGTTAAGTGGGTTGCTAGTTTCGATCGCGCAGGAAGCGCTTTGGGCATCACCAACTCTAACTGAACTTGAACGCTCTTGCCTGGGCCCACTCTATCAGTGGACTGTTTTGGGTGTGGATTTAGACCCAAAATCTCTCATCATCGGCATCTTCTTAGGTTTGTTCCTTGGACCAATCCTTGAGGTGCTCTGTTTGCTCCGGCACCTAGCTGCAATTTACCTGCGCAGAGCAGTCTTAGGTCAACAGGTGGCACCAAAGAGAGGGTGGAGGGTTTTGGATGAGCACACGTGAAATAGCGGCCTTGAGGAGTGAGCTCGAGGTTTTGAGGCTGAGGGTTCAGGTGCTTGAGGAGCGATTGAGTGCACGTGAGGCAGAGCGTCCCAGCCCCACTGCAAGCGCTGGGTCTGAGGGATTCAGTGTGGTCACTTCTGCTCCTGGGCAGAGTGGATACATCCTCGCTGAGGACACCGAGGAACGGCTTGAGTTGGCCAAGGAGTGTGGAAGATTCCTAAGAAGAGCTTACTCAGGAGTGTATCGAGGCACTTCAGGGCGAGATCGCCTCAAGCTAGGCAGTAGAGTGTACGTGGTGCTAGCCGACTTCTCAGGCAGAAAGTTCGACCAGCCCAAGGTCTTTGAGAGGTTCAGTGAGGTCAAAGATTTGTGCAAGAGGGGCCCAGACGCAGGATCGTCTGTCTTCCTAGGATTTGCAACTCAGTGGGAAGCGAAGCTTGCTGTGAAGGAGGCGGGCTTCGAGTGGCCGTCTCGTCGTTGAGATGGCTGAGGTAGGTGAAGCAGTTGAAGGGAGGAGCCTGGCTGACCTTTGCGTAGCCGGGCAGACGAGCGGTGAGATTCATCCTGATACTCATCGCTGCAGATTGAATTTCCTGAGTCCTGAGGGGGCAGACGTTTCAGTAGCCTTTGTTCCCATTGTACACGTTGAAGGCAAGCTTTTGGTTGCAGTCCCCTTTGTTGCTTGGCACAGAACGGCGAGCAGGAGGCTGTTGCCGAAAGGGGCTTTGTCTAAGCCTGTCCCGGTCGAAGTATCGGGCACGCTTGTTGAGGAGGCTGCTGAGGAGGAGAGTATAGATATAACCACCAAGGCATGGATGGGATTTTTGAGCGCAGAGCTTTTGCAAGCCGCAGTGATTGGCGAACCCGAAGAAGGAGCAATCACTGCAGAATTTGGAGAAGAGTTGGAAGTGCGAGTTCAACTTTCAGCTCTAGTTCTGGTCGCCATTGCCGACGAGCACTTCAGTTTTGTGTCGGCCCAGTCGGGACCTGCATCAGTGGCTGCCTCTCCGTCTTTGCGATCAGCTGCAGGAGGGCGATTAGAGGAGAGACTGGAAAAGCTAGAGACGGCTTTTCAAGAGGTCAGGGGCTCTCTGGGAGGCTTGTCAGAGGTGGTCTCATTTGTTCGGAAGCAGAAGAGCAAAGGAGGAGATGCTGGAGCAGCAGCGAAGAAGCAAGAACCAAACCTCTGTCCGGGACTAGACCCGGCAGTCGTGGCTGCCGCGAGGCAGTCGGGTTTTCCAGAAGATCAGCTTCAAAAACTAGCTGCTTTGGCTCGCAAGCCCGTCCGCATGGACGATGTGCCTCCGAAGAAGCCGCGCCAGCGGGGCGTCCTTTCAGAGAGCGAGGAGGACGAGGCAGATTTGGAGGGAGAAGACGAGGAGGCCACAGCAGAAGGGCCCCCTATCGAGCGAGCCATTTTGCAGCTCACCAAAGTCGTGAAGACTTTAGCAAAGAGCAAGCAAGGCAGGGCTGGGCTAGACGGCATTTTAGACAGAGCAGAAGGAGGAGCTGCCGTAGATGCACCCTCCAGCAGCAACAGTCAGGGACGCTCGAGGTCAAAGGCAGCAGCATACAAAAAGTTGAAGAGCGCTTTGAAGGAGAATCCGGACTGGCTGTGGGAAAGTGTGGAAAGCCAGATGGCAGAGGACTTCACAACTCTGAAGTCGGGGCCTGGCTTGGAACAGCTCCCGGTGACATCACGGTCGTGGCTGGAGCACCGCAGTCGCCTTCTCAACTTTCCTACGTCGATCAGAGCTGCCTGGCTGATTGCCGGCATCCACGATTGCTTGCGAAGGAATCAAGTGGGCGAAGCCAGAGCACGAGCAGCCCTGGCTCTTCTAGCCTACGACCAAGCTGCCCTGGATGGAGGAAGTTGGCAGCTTGCCCAAGAACTTGTTCTCGAGCTTCCACCTCCCTACTCGTCCTTCCAGGGGAAGCGAGCACCGGAGCCCAGCGAGCAAGCGTGGTCTCGTTTGGCAGACGAGAGGTTTTTGGAGTTAGCCCTTTGGCGCCTGAAAGACCGGGACTCCTTCTTAGAAAGCAGAAAGAGGCTGAGCCAGGGTTACAAGACTGGGAAGCCGGGAGGGGGGGGAGGTCCGGGGGCAGGAGGCTCAGAGAGGGATGCTCCAAAAGGAAAGAGAGAGCCGAAGGCGAAGGCAAAGGCGAAAAGCAGAGCCAGCCCGGGCCTGGATGCCGGGCACGAGGAGCCAGAAGGTTGAAGAAGCGCGCCGAAGAGCGCGCTGAGGTCGACCTGCAGAAAGAGGAGCACCTCCCTGGAAGCAGGGCTTCGACTGTGCATGCCAATATTTTTGATGAGTGCTTTACAGTCCTGCTGAAGAGCCGGACTTCTTTTTCAGTTTTTCTCCGCTCCATGTTTGCTTCCTGCGCTGCTGCACGAGCGGCGCCTTTGGGTCAGGTCTGGCCGATGCCGCTGCCCTATCCAGAAGTGCACACTTCTCGAAGATCCAGGTTGAAGGAGTGTGGGCCATTGAAAGTGTGCACAAACTATGTAGTGGCGGTCTTGTCGTGGCTGCACTTGGGTGAGAAGCGTAAGCCTACTGAGGAGTTGGGCTTGGGTCTTGGAACCAAGCTAAACAGGGATCAGTGGAAGGCTGTACACAGAATGCAGCCCCTCTTCTCCACTTGGCTTGATGGAGGCACTGTGACGCCAGAGGATATGGGCAGGACAGCAGCCAAAGTCGAGTCAATTGAGGCCGTCTTAGCGAGGCTTGAGGAGGTTGCAGAGGAGGTCAAAGAGGGCCTTGGAGGTTACAAGGGATGCAGGCGAAGCCACAAGCCAGCGTTTTCGTTTGAAGAGGAACATGAGGCTGAGGTCTTGGGGCGGGTTGGTTCAAATCTGGAGCATGTCGCCAAGGATATTGAACCTCATAGGCTGAAGTTTGTCGGAGAGCCTAGTTTTGACCCGACGCCGTTTTTAGACTATGCCAACAGAGAGCAGTACAACAGACCTTTGGACTTGAGTTTTGAGGAGAGTCTGGAGGATTTGGACCTTCCTAGAGTGAAGGTTCGTTGCAAGAGAGGTCAGGGCGTGCAGCTTCTAGAAAAGTTGGACAGTGTCAAGCGTTTGGCTTTAGTTCCCCTCAAGGAGGTGCGGGAGCATTTGCTGAATGGCATGTTTTGTTTGCCAAAGGATCAGCACCGAGACAGGATGATCCTCGATGCAAGGCGACCCAATGCTGTCGAAGCTTCTGAACGTCGATGGGTCTACAGCTTGGGGTCGACATGCCAACTGAACCACATCCACTTGAAAGAGGATGAAATTTTGCTGATCCACGCTGAGGACCTTCGAGAGTTCTACCACTGCTTTCTAGTGTCAGAACAGCGCTGCAGACGGAATGGGCTTCAGATGAAAGTCAAGCCCGAAGAGGTGCAGCATTTGCAGTGTTTTGAGGCTTGGATGGCAGCTGAGGATCATCTAGTGCCTTGTTTAGCCACAATGGCCATGGGAGACACAAATGCTGTAGCGTTTGGGCAGTGTGCACATTTGTCAGTCATCCTTCGGACCAACGTCTTTGAACTTGAGGATTTCCTGACCTTGAAGCAGCGGCCTAACCGCAAGTCGATCAAATGTGGCTTGATGATCGACGATTTTGTAGTTTTGGAGGTCCACAAGGGACAAGAAGCGCCTTGTAAAGAGGATGCAGAGACAGAGGGCAGAAAGCGCATGCTCAAGGTGAGGGAGGCTTACGTTGAGGCGGGTCTGCCAAGACATGAGGGCAAAGCAGTTGAACAGGAGGAGAAAGGCGAGTTTTGGGGCTACGAGGTCGATGGGAAGAGAGGGTTGGCTCGACCCAGTCTGAAGCGTTTGATCCCACTTTGCTTCATCTTGTGCAGAGTTGTCGCACTGGGGAAGATCAGCGTAGGACTGCTTGAGGTTATCGCAGGAGCCCTCGTGGCAGCTTTTCAGTGTCGCCGCAGACTGATGTCAGCTTTGCAAGAGGTTTATAGAGCTCAGAGGGGCAGAAGCAGGGCAGAGGTCGTCAGGATGAGCATGAAGCTTAAGGAAGAACTGCTTGTTTGTCTGGGTCTTTTGCCTTTAGCTGTGGTAGACATGAGACTGCGGCCGTCAGCAAAGTTAGTTTGCAGCGATGCTTCGACAGAATGCGAAGCAGCAGTTCAAGCTGAAGTAGGAGAGGCAAGAACGACCGAATTTCAGAGACATGGTCTGCAGAAGGGGCTTTGGAATAGGTTGACATCACCGAGTCAAGCCTATCTCAGAGAGAAGGGCCTAGGAGGTGAAGAGTCTGAGCTGCCAGGCGAGGTGAGTTACAGCATGCACCCACTTTGGGAGGTTGTTGTCAAAGGTTGTCAGTTCAGGACGTTTGGTAGGCCGAAAAAGACCAAAAGCCGCAGGCACATAAACCTGAAAGAGATAAGTGCGGCGCTTGAGGCTGAGAGAAGAATGGGGCGAGAGAGCCCTAGCTCTTACTATGTCCACTTGCAAGACAGCCAGGTCTCGTTGGCCTGCTTTGTCAAAGGCCGCAGCTCTTCAGCAGCGGTCATGGAGTTGCTTCGGCAGAGTTTGCCGGAGCACTGCGGAACCAATGTTAGAGGGTACTACGGGTATTGCAGGAGCAGCTTGAATCCTGCAGATGACCCGACCCGTAAAGCAGCATTGCGGAAGCCCTCCATCTGTTTGCCAGCGTGGTGGGGTGAGATAGCTGAGGGAGATTTTGAGCAGTTTGATGACTTCCTCTTTCAGCACGGTGTCCATACGGCTCAAAGCGCTGAATTGCCCAGCGCTGATGAGCTCTTGCCCGATCTCGAGCTCGATTGGCGGAACTCCCGCCAGTTGAAGAGCGACAGAGGTCGCAACCTGAGGAAAAGAGAGCGGAAAGGAGCCAGCGACTCTGGCCGTTTGACTCCAGACTCGTGCAGCAGTGCCCCCTCCGAACCGGCGCGGCTCTCTTCTTCGTCAGAGCAGACGTCATCGTCCAGGCGTACTGCTGTTGCCGTTTCCGGTGAAGAGGGGACCACAAGCGGCCGAGCGGGTCGGGGCTCAGAGGGGAACGCTGAGAGAAGGGTTCCACCAGACAATTCAAAGGACCCCTGTAGCAGCCGAGCAGGAGCTGCGTTGACAGGAACAAGGCTAGATGTGCTCTGCCTATTCGACCACAGCCAGTTTGTGTATGACAAGACGCGTTTTGAGAGTTTGGCAGAAGCAGTTTCCTCCGGGCCAGGTCTCCTAGATTTGTACTCAGGTGCGAGAGGCTTCAGTAAAGCTCTGGTGCGTCTTGGCTGCCCCTGGGCTGTTTGCTTCGATTTGAAGCATTCTATACGTGAGGACCTTAGCAACCCACTTACCCAAAGAACTCCCCTGAAAGGCCTTAGTTTAGGTTGGTTTTTAGCCATGGCAGCGTCGCCGGTTTGTGCGAGCTTCTCCACTGCAATCACCCCGCCATGGCGGACGAAACTTCACCCAGGCGGCAAGCCGGGACTGACTGAGGTGCAACAACTAAAAATTCAGCTGGGGCAAGAACAGCTTGCTTTCGTTTTGGAACTGGTTTCTGTTTGCCTGCAGTTTGAAATTTTGTTCTGGGTTGAGAATCCAGATCAGTCTTGGTTTTGGAAACAACCGGGCGAGCTTAGCTGGGATAAACTGAGCGAAAACTATAGTGACAAACTGGGTGATTTTAGGTGCGACCAGTGCCGCTTTGGCACGCTGTGGAGAAAGAGGACGCGTTTTCGAACTAGCTGCCACTTAAAAGGTCAGAAGGAGATGTGTTGCTGCAACAAGCCTCACGTTGTTTTGCGAGGCCGGGACAAGAGCAAGGGCATGAACTTCACAAAGTTAGCTGAGAGCTACCCACGTAGACTGTGTAGTTTTCTAGCTGGTGCTTTTGCAATTGACCTGGAGCTACAAGGAAAGTGCAGAAAATTGGATTTAGCTGGATGTGCAAAAGTGACCCACTGCAGGATTGGAGAAGCTGAAAACCCGGGACCTAGAAACCGGGTTCCCAGAGCAGATAGAAACATCTATGACTTCAATTTGCTTGAGCCTGGGACTATTCTCATGCGGGCGCGTTTTTGGAAGAAGTTTCAGGAATGGGCAGAGGCAAACCTAGGTGAAGGAGCTGCTGGAAACCTTGCGGAAAATCCTGAGCTTTTAGTCTCCGCCCTTGAAGCATTTGGTGCTGATAGTTTTTCTGCAGGCATGCCTCTCCTTTATTTCCGGCAGCTGGTAGTACATGTGCAGTCAGAGTTTCCAGCAACTCGAGCTTATGCTAGTGCACTTTGGGCGCTGATCAGCAGATGGGAAATAGCTGAACCTACTCAGCATAGGACTCCGATCCCGGAGTCGTTGGTTCGAGCTATGGCAAGTCTCAGCATTCTCTGGGGCTGGCGACGTTTTGCTTCCAAAATTCTGCTTTGTTTCTACGGCATTTGCAGGATAGGAGAAGTGCTCAAAGCGAAGCGCTGTGACTTGCTGACACCGGAAGACTTGCTATGGGAAGATCCTGATGTTGTTTACTTGCGCATCAATGTGCCCAAAAGCCGCGGCAGAGGTCCGAAAGTGCAGTATGCTACGTGCAAAGTTCCAAGCGTAGTGAAGCTGCTTTGCAAGACCTGGCAAAGAATGAGTTCTGAGGAGCTTCTGTGCGGAAGCTCGCCTTCTTCATTTCGGAGAAGGTGGGACGCTTTGCTGAAGCATCTGGGTGTGGACAAAAAGTTGAGGCTGACTCCAGGGTCGTTGAGAGGTGGTGGAGCAGTAGCTGCACACAAGCGTGGTCAGCCGATCCAAGACTTGATGTGGAACATGAGGCTGCAACACCAGAAAACTTTAGGCTATTACTTGCAAGAAGTAACAGCTGCTTCGATCTTACCTTCTTTGACTGCCGAAACGAGATCCAGAATCCAGCTGCTTAGGGATGCGTTTGAATTCCTAGTTTCATGATGAGGAAGCGCACAGCTCTTAGCGCACCGATGTTTGCTGCTTTTTCTTTTTGTGTTCTTCGCTGTAGGCCTCCTGAGCAAGGTGGATAGCTGAGATGCCTTGAAGCACCAGCTACCTTTTCTTTTGGATGGAGCCGGCTCATCCCGCAGCGCAGAGCTGCGACAATTTCAGGTCAGCTTGACCTTCTCAAACTTGACAGGTGCAGCATGGAGTGGAGAAAGAGGCTTCTTTCAGTGCAGCAAGTTGCCTGAATTTAAATATATATAATATATATATATATATATAAACCAAAATCATCACGACCTGGATCACTACTACAGTATGTGGAGGGGCAGTGGAACGAGGACACGACACAAACGGACCTTGTCATGTTGCCAAGTTGAGCCTTCGTCTTTTGAGATTCTGTGAGATTCTTTGAGGCAAGATGTTCGAGATCAATTGTCGGCTTGGCCTGGCCCCTACTTTGCTCAGGGATGTCCTGGCCGCCGTGGCTGTAGGAACTGGCCAACTATGACCTGTCAGAAACCTGTCTGCACCAGGCTATCCAGAGAAAGACATGGAGAGAGTCTTGCGGGAGGCTTGTTGCAGCAACTCTAGAGCAAAGACATGCTCCATTTGATCCCTTACCAGAATCTTACTGGTGCCATTGAATACAAAAACACCTCAGAGCCTCATGAAACAGACAGAGTTGGGACGGAGAGGGTGCCAGATGCATTTTATTTTCCTTTTCTACATCTATCCAGATGCCTTGGAAAACTTTCGCGCCCACTTTTTCCGTCTCTGCACATGGCCTTTTTCATGGCGGGCAAAACTTGCATCATACGAATCACACTTGTACATTACAAATCATTACATGCGTGTGCAAATGACATACACAAGCCTACACCATGTACAACTTCGCGCACATTTCACACGCACACACACACATGCCTCTAGAATCAAAGAATTTCTTGGTTGATTTCTTGGTTGAAAGAGTTACACCGGCAGATTGATCTGATTCAAAAGGCCTCGAGCGGCGATTGGCTTGGCATCAAAACTTAAAGTGGTACAAGCCCTGGCCGCTCGAGCTTGAAGGCACAGACAGCTGAAAAAGAGAGGTTAGCAAAGAAGCTGGAGAGGCTGGAGTAGCAACAGCTGCCTGAGATTGTAAACGCTGAAACTTAAACAGCTTAAACACTTATACAGTTATAATAAACTGTTATAATCAGTTATAAACAGTTAAACATCTCGAGATATGAAAGGGAGTCAAGCAGGTGTCATGGGAAATACTGGAAGTCCTTGTGGCTTGAGCCAGCTGTTGGTTTCATCAGCAGGAAGAAAGCAGCGCAGAGGCATCTCCAGACAAATGCACTTGCAGAAACTGGAAGTTCACGTGTTCATCATGCTTTATCTTATTTTTATTATTTATTTATTTATTTAATTTTTTTTTAAACGATGCAAAATGATGCAAACATTGCTATGTCACGTATATCAATGCTTGCACGATGAGGCCTGCTCAAACGGCTGGGACAGGCGAGAAGTTTCAGCATAATTGGGTTGTTTCGGTTGTTTCGGGCTTCCATGAATTGACCATCCGGAAGCTGCGACGAGCGACGACCTCTAACAGTCAGCAAACACGTCCTTGTTTGAGTTCTGCGCCTTGTGGAAATGCTTTCATGTCCTCCTCCCTTGTTGACAACACTTTGGAGTGCCAAACATGTGAAATGAATGATTCTTGCAGGTGACTTCACCGGCTCTAAGGAGAAGGTGAGATTGGTTGAATCTTGGGACCTGGATAGTTGAGTGGTGGTGGCTTCACTAAGGGCAATCTAGTCCTCAGCCATATCATAATAGATTTAGTTCTGTTGTTCTGTTCTTTTTTGCATTTCGTTTACACGTTTGGTTTGGCAGGTCTTTTTTTCTGGATTCTGTGCCAAGCTTGTGTATTTTCACCAGCCATGGCATTACGAGTCTCCCGAAATAAAACACCGGAAAACTAGAGACGGAATGCTGGCTGCAGGCTGATGAGCAGGCAAGTTCACCAAAGGCCAAAGACCTGCTCAATCTGGCAGAGGAAACCACTGCTTCCTCATCAAGCAAGAAGAAAAAAAGAGAAGTGGCTGAGGAGGTTCCGGGAATTAACACTTACTTGATACAGCTCTTGGAAGTGTGTTGAGCAGATTTTGAAAGCATAAACATCAAAGACACAGTTGACTGCAAAGAGAAGTGCATAGGACACTACATCTACTCCAAGCAAGATGAAGGGAGGAGCGGCTGAGGACCATGCAGATGTACTGTTATTGTGCTGACCCGCAATTTTTCACGAGGTGTCGTTGGCAGGTGAGGTGCATTAAACATGGACAGGTGGGCTTTGCACAGTATTTTTTTGTGTGTTTTCAGAGCATCGATTCCACTGACAAGTGCAGAGGACAGCACTCCACCCTCACGGAAAAAGAAAAAACAAGACATCTCCGATGAGGTATGGACGAGTTGACCAACTTGACACGAGAAATTAAGACTGGATGACAAGCTGCTCTTTTGTCTTAGTCTCCGGAGATCTGATGCTCGCTGCAGGCTGATGAGCAGGCATGGCTCACCAGAACTCAAGACACACTGCATGCCGTCTGCCACTGTATGCTGTCACACTCGCGCAGAGGAAACCACGGCTTCCTCGACAAGCAAAAACAAGAGACGCGAAGTGGATGATGAGGTTCATAGAATCGAACGAGTGAATATTTTATTGATGAACAAGATAAAAGAAAAGCTGAAATCTTTGACTTGTTTTTGACTCGTTGGGAAAATCATTGCACTCTGTCTCTGCGCAGGTAAGCTCGCCAAGGCGGCGGAAGAAGGAGGAGCATGTCACCATTGCTACGCACTGGTTTCCCAAAGCTGAGCTCCTGGCACTCCCCGTGAGGATGTGATGCTCAATGGGGATCGCAAGCCACGCAACAAAGAGGCCAGGGAAGCGTCTCGAAACCAGGTTGGATATGATTTGGATAGTTACCAATCAGTACTGAGCCCTAGATTGACATGCCAAACGCATTTTTTGGGTTGCAGGTTCCTTCATCAAATTCATTGGCTGTAGCTAGAGTCCTTCTGGCCATTTCTGGCCGGCCCGAAGCCCACATTGATCATAAGCCACCTAAAGCCAGCATCTTGGGCACATGAAAAGCTAAGCTCCCCTGGATGCCACGCCACACACCAATGGCACTAGCGGGTTTGGACGATTCCCAAAACTGACCAGGTGCAGGTGAAGAAGGCAAAGATAAAAACGGAAGCTGCTGAGGAAACCCAAGAGGAGTAGTCGTTGAATGTTGGTTCCTTCCGCATGGATTGATTCGGACGTGTTTTTGTTGCAAATCATGCAGTTTTTTGAGTTTTTTGACTTTTTTTTGTGCCAGACTCTGCTGGACATGCCACTTCCAGCGTGTTTTTACTTGAGCCCAAGGAGCCTGCTCCTGCGAAGCAGAAGCGAGGATCAACAAGCCAAAAGGCTGGAGCTTGTGATTAGAACCTGAAAGACATTGATTCCACAGAAGATGAAAGCTCTCATTCCCAGGCCAGTGGAGCCGCCAACAGAAGAACCCAGAAGCTGGCCCAGAAGGCATCCAAAATCTTGACATAGCTAACACGGACAAAGCGCTGCACACATGTTGAAAATCGCACGTGCCTCAGGTTTGATTGCCTTTCAGCACCAGCGCTCTGGTCTAGGCTGGCCTGGAACCTCAAAGTCAATCTATTGTGCCTGTCACACTTTTTGTCGCAGATTTGGGCACGATGCTCGGGCATTGACTGCCGATAATGACTCCTGCGTTTGTAAGCGCACTGTATATACACCTTTCTGGCGCCTTCCAAGAGACCTACGACAATTTTCTGATCCTACTGAGTGGTGGAAAAGGCATGAGAACAAAATCTCCTTGACATTTTGGGTCACTGGAAGTCAGAGATTTCACAGCCAAAGCGCAGAAGATTCAGAGGATGCAGACCAGAGTGCATCTCTTGAAATTGTTTGCCTCACCAGTCTTTAGTCTCCAAACTCACCTTTTTGCAAAAGTGCTCCACTGTGCACGAGCGAGCCAAGAGCTGTGCTAGCTCCCAATGATTGAGTCTTGAATACGTATGTGATGTGCTGTGCTTCCTTTCCGCACGCTTGTTGATGCCTGTCAAGAAGAGAAAAAACTCTGATCCAATTATGTATTCAACCTATACTTCTTTTCAATCTTGACTCAGAGCAGGTATTGTGACTTTTTTTTTGCTTTTAGGCCATGACAGATGAAACTTTTTTTGTTCATGGCCTGTCTTGAGCTGCGTTGAGCTGCAGCCGCAGAGTGTTCACACCCTGGGCTGACATGATGAGAGCACACGCCCGCAGCCTGGCGGCCTGCCTACTTGCAGGCGATCAGCGATTTCGCAGTCTTTTGCTGAAGATAGGAGATGAAAGGAATGGAACAACATGTAAATATATATATATATACACATATATTATCATATATATATATAATATAAGTTAAGTATGTACACACTACAAAATCTGCGATATAGATGATATAGATGTATTGTAGACAATTTTCTTTTGTTTCTTTTCAATCAACTGAGTATGTGAGTTTTGAGCGATTGATATTGATCTTGGGATCTCAGGCAGTGCCTATCTCTTATTTTCTCCGACCAGCAAGCAAGCCCAGACGGGTAGAATCCGAGAAGATGCAGATGAGACTGATGAGACCAGCCAGGGATTTTTAAAAAGTCCTCTTTTTGAGCCAGTATCTTCAGACTTAAGTCACTTAAGACAGAAAGATAGTGCTTGAGTGCTTGAGCTAAAGACTGGCAGTGATCGTGAAAGGGGCAGGTCATCCAAGACTTTCACCTCTTGGTGCCTAGCAAAACCACACATGGAAAGTAAACCCTGAGGCCCGAAGACTGGTGCTTTTGCTGGAGCACCGCTGGTCGTTCTGATGCTCAGCCATGATCCGTTTTGTTTAAATTCCTTTCATCCATGACGAGAGTATCTCCACAAGTCTTGAGATTCTTGAGCGACGAATCACCGTTTTCTCATGCTGTGCTACAACTATTGCGAGTTTGAAGGCATCTTCGCCCCGTGCACTTCCGACCGACATTGGAAACGCAAGAGAGGCCATGCTGTAGCACTGTAGCAATTGCTGTGTCATACAAAGATCTTGGCCGTCTTGGCCGTCTTGGCCGTTTTGGCCGTCTTGGCCGTCTTGGCCGTTTTGGCCGTCTTGGCCTTGGCTTTTGGCTGACCTGGGGGACAGGCTTCTGCCATCACCAGGCACAGTCAAGGATCAGTCCTCAGAGGAACTCAAAAATAAGGAAAGTTCGCTGGGAGGGCTCAGGGCCAGCCGTTTGTGCATTGAGGTCAACAAGGCCGCAACGTCTATGGTGACCGCAGCCGGTATGGTAAGCCACAGATTAAGGCCGCCAAGCGAATGGCTCGCTGGCGCTCGAGGAAGAAGTATGGTCTGCAGCTGAGACTGTGGAGAGTATTTAGAGCATTTGAGAAGCGCATTGACGGTGAGCGCACTTTATCTTGAGTTGGGAAAAAAATGCCTTGGCGGAGTCCGCAAGAAAGGTGAGATTGCAAAACTGTGTCTGGATGATGTCAACTTGAATTTAAACGTACGTATGTTTTGGTTTCTAATCTTGCCTTGAGGTTCATACACTGCCAGACAGGTTCCAAGAAGGTGTCGCTGCCATGAATGACGGTGGCCATGTGTTGGGTTTGAGTGTTAAGGTGTTCTCCAGTATTGGATTCGCCGAAAAATCTCACACATGCAGGCATGTAGACAACCAACTTACTTCAACGGCGACATTCAACTTTAATGGCCTGCATGCAGTTCCAAAAATCGGCACCACATACCCTATGTTTTGGACTTTGCCTTGCTGAAAGACGCCACACTTTTGCTCTAATGCTCCAACTCCCTGAAAAGCTAAATGGTCGTGGATCGAAAACATATCAGTCATGAGAGATCAACATGACTTACTGTATATTCAGACATACCAAGATTGTAGGTAAACATCGGAGTATCAGACATCATCAAGCCAGGAAGTCACCCTAGTTGTGTAATAGTTTCAGTTTCCAGCTCGCATCACACTATGCCTACTATGCAAGGTATCCATTGTACGACATCCTCGAGGATGTTGCCTGTGGCACCTGTTCAAGTCCTCAATTTGCAATAGTTTTTTTGAACAAGTGTGGAAATTCTGATCGCAAACAGTTGTCAGATTTGGCTTTCCTTTTGCAATGATCACATTCATTCTCCATTCAATCGCGTGCGGAAGAGTTTATTTCCACATACAGATGAATTCTTGCAGGAAGTCTACGAGAAGGTCCCCACCTACACTATCATTAGCGAACCTGATGTATCTCGCTGGCAATTTTGTTGAGAAGTTGATAAGTTGCGCTTGAGATGAGGTGTGTTTCTTCCTCTTTGACACTTGCTGATATTCTCACTCAGGAGCCTTTGGAGCCCGTCATGAAAGTTCCAGACTCTCAGCTGCAAATTATTACGTCACGGCAATGATATGCTGATTCATTGCAGATTATGCTGCAAAAAGTGGTTGTGACTTGGTCAGTTGACGGAGCGCTATCCCTGGGCTGGCGATTTGTCCAAAGTCAACGAGCGCAAGCAGCGAAAGGCCTACGCAAAGAAGCTGCAAGAAGTGAAATTATATGTGGTTTGCCACTTTCTGTCACCATATTTCTGACATTATGGTCTTGTGATGCCTTGTGAACATGGTGATTCCAATCAAGCTTTGGGTGGCAGGAACATGGTGAGAACGAGGATAGGCAGGAAGCCCAGATCGTGCTGAGAGAAGATTTTGAAGATCAGACTAAGAGTCGGATGTATGATGTCAGAATCACATTTGTTTTCTTTTTACATTAGGATGGAGCCTCTGTTTGCAGCTTGGAATGGAGCTGGGCGTCCGCCAAAAAGCTGGGAACTTGGGAACTTTGTGTTGAAGTGGGCCGTACAGGGTCCTCAATGAGTCCATTTTTGGCAAGACAAGAGACAAACAAAGGAACAGCATAAGATAAGATCACAACAATTCTGAGACATTTTCAGTCTGTTACACTTGGGTAGCAAATTCTTAGTTGGCAAAGAACCAGCTGATGCACCCATCCTGCTCCAATTCGCTCCAACCTGCCTTGATGTAGATCGTTCCACAGTGCTTTTTGAAAGACAATTAGAAGGATGTGAAGGATGTGAAGGATGTGTTTGTCCAGCTGGGAGCATGTCAGTGAGCACCAAGTGTGGAGGCCGACAGGAGAAGTGGGAGAAGAGGATGGGATGGCCTAGCTACAATCATCCGCCTGGGTCCAAGTGTGCATCCACTATGTTCGTTTTGCTCGTTTCAGGCTGGTCAATTCCACGAAGATTCGTTAAGTATGTTAAGTTGCATTTTCCAAATCCATCAAACTTCCATCAAACATCTAGATGGGGATTTGTAACACTCACACCTACATTAATTACCAGTCCTGGATCCATATGGTTGAACATCCATGTGCCACCTGGCCATTGTTGCTGTGTTCACCAGTGTCCCAGGGGGCCCAGGGCCCCCATGGCTCACTGATCAAGGCCATGGCTCAACGCGCCCAAGGTTGGCGAAGACGTGAAGGCGTTGGTCACCGATGGATGTGGCATTGGTCACCATTGACCTGAGAAGCCCAGATGGAATGCATGGGAATATATGGGAATGCATCATATGATATCATATGCATCCCATTTTCGGTCGTCACGATTTTGGTTAGCCAGATATCATACGTAGTACCGCGTCTCTGATTGCTAAATATCATCAAGCTGGCCTGCTATCATCTCGTGGCCAGGTTCTCCCTACGATGACGTGGAAGAAACACAGAGAACCTGAAGACTGGCAGAAGGATACCACTCAAGCTAAGTGGTTGAAGTGGGCCAGAAGCCCAGATGCTGAAAGCCTCTTATACAAAAGGTCCTCGACTTGTTGACTTGTTGGAAGCATCTTGAAGCAATCAACTTTGAGCACCAGATTGACTGAAGTGACTGAGCTTCCACTGAAGACAGTTCACAACGATGACATCCACATCCATGGAATCCATGCTCAACGTGCCTCCAATGCCTTCCCAATGTAGCACAGGCTTTCCTTTCTGTCCTCACGGATTTCCTTTCTCACGGACCATCATCCGATTCTGTGGTCATCTTCCGTGAAAGTGATGCAGGTGGAAGAGCGTAAGCAGCTCGAGAAGGAGATTTACGAAGAAGTTGGCTTTGAGCACGAGGCGTGGCGTGCTGGGGGTCAGCCTTGACTAAGTCTGCAGAATCGAAGTCCTACTGCAAGGACGATGTCTATATAGGTGTTGTTTGTTACGTTGTGATATGCTCCGCATTCTTCCTGGAAGGCAAAGTGAGCTTGCGGGCATAGTCCAGATGTGAAAGCGCTGAGAAAAGAGCCAGTGGGAGTGGGAGGATTTGGGGTAAGATACTACACAGAGGAGTGGAAGTCAAGTGAAGTGCAAGGTCATGTTCATGTGTGTATACTTTGCGCATGCATATTTATGTGATGATATGTGATGCAAATTTTGCAGGTATACGGCAAACTGTAACAGACGCATGTGTGACCTAGTATGTGTGTGTGCACAGTTCTCTCCACCGTAGTGAAATAAGTTGGGGCATAAGAGGTGATTTGATGTCAATGCGAGGTACAGTGCTTCACGACTTCTGCTTTTTTGTTTTGCAAACTGGCCGAAGTATGAGACTGCTACTCCCGCAGCTTTTTGGCTTGGATGAACGAAGAAGATACCATAAAGCGGCTAATGAGTGTGTTCGTTTTCTCGTGGAGCTTTGAATGCATACTGATATAGTTGATATGGATAGAACGGCCTTGCATTCGTGGTGGGTACCAAAATACTTCGAAGACAGCGAGACCTCCAGAACAAGAAGAGATGTGCTTCGAAGTAGACTCAGTAGACATGCTTGTGGCTTAGCAAGCCGAAACTCGCATGGATATTACTTCGCCGTGAACAGACATCCTTGCATGGGACAGTGTTTCTTGAGCCAAACGGGCAGATATTTGTTGAAATTCTCATTCATTCAGTTCACATGTGGGATGCGGCGCTATCATGGGTCAATGAACCGGCGGTTACTCTGCTGCAAAGCTGTCCCCAGTGGAAGATGAAGGTACGTTTCAGCGCAGGAGTCCTTTGAACCATCCTTTCGCTGATATTGTTGGACTTCCAATGACTTTCACGTGTTTCAAGACACCTCCATCAAGCATGTCAACTTCCAGGGGGAACCGAGCCCTGGTTGTAATTTAGGAATTACATTTCCTCAAGACCTCACAAAGTTGGCCCAGCACTATGCCATTCAACCGAATTCTTCAACTGGTAGATTTTCCCGTATCAAGAACAGACCCGTAAAACATGTTCATCCCTCTCGCTACAAAGCATGAAATTGCCAGCTCCCGACTAGCAATCATTTCATGCCATTGCTCATGAGTGGTTTACGATTTCATCGAGGTTCGCACGCTTGGTGCTCATAGGTGGGAGAAGTTTGGCATGATGAAAGAAGTTCATGTTATCCAAAGTTGGAATCCTGTACCCAAACAGTGAGCAAGACAGCGATAGACAGCGACACTCTCGGATGATGAGCTCTTGAGCCTATTGATGGCTCTCAGTCTCTGGATCAGCCTGAGAGCTCTGAATGCAGGTGGAACTTCCTTTGTCGTACTTGCCTGGATTGTCGTCCTGAGCCTGTATGCGGCGGTACCACAAATCAATTCCAGCAGGCCAGCAACTCAGTGTTCACATATGTATCCAACAAAATGACATGGCATGCCCAATTCTGTGTATAATATGTGTATATAATATGTGTATAATCTAGGCAGCTTCCAAGCGATTTTCACTGGTCCAAGTTGGCCGAGTGGCTGAGGCCGACAGCCTTAAGAGGTGCAAACCACAGGCTCACCGCAGCTGACAGGTCTGACAGGGCCGTCGAAACAGCTGAGTCGCAAATGCCTGCAGCACTGCCAGCAGCAATGGTAACTGCAGCCCCGGTGGCAGCGCTGCCACCTTCGGATGAGCCGAGCAAGCAGACGCGAGGCGTGGTGAAAACTGAAACCTGGATGGGCCTCCTGACTGATTCAATGACAGCGGAATCAGCGGAATTTCAGAGATTTTGAATTTTGAAGATTTTGAAGGAGCAGCGGAATTCCAGCAGCACTATGCGCAACTGAACGCAGAGGGCCGCTTCGAGTGCTTCGATCACAGCAAGAGCATTGAGCCGAGAACAGATGGTAGGGGAAACATGGTGAAACACATTTCCCTTCAATGGCCGGTCCAACTTGAAATGATCCTTCGATTGGCTGTCTTTTTTCCTCCCTTTCTAAGCTACTTGAAAGATTTACATTTGTGTAGTTGTTTTCTGAGGTTTCGAAACCTTTGCCGTGGTCAATGATGACTACTGCGACTGTGAAGATGGTAGTGATGAACCTGGGACAGCTGCATGTGCAGGCGCCCGTCAGCCAGCAATAGAACTCAATTCAGCATCCTCACTGAAGAATTCAGAACCAGTTTGACTTGGCTCTTCAGAATCTTCAGACAGGTTTGCCATCTTCAAGCCTCAAAGAATTTGCCTGCAACTGGGAAAAAGGACTTGGATCTGCTTTGCTCAGCACGTGCCGTTTTCAACAGATCCATAGCGCAGGAGAAGGACCCTTCGTGCACCTGTCTACGGTGAACGACGGGCTTTGTGATTGTTGCGCCGGCCAGGTGCAACTGATTCCAAACTATTGTAAACTGATTCAGACAATTGTAAGTGTACATAAATGTACTACATCAGCACAAAAATACAGCACATCTACCTTATCTGAATACGTTTCGCACCATTTGTAAGGCAACTGGTGTAGGCTTGATAGCTTGGGGCCTGGGATCATCCTGACATGCAGGACGAGTGGGGAAGTGATACCCAGTGTCCTGACCGCTGCGATGAGCTTGCGGCCGCTGCAGCAAAGTCTGCATCACAGGCCATGGAAGGCAGCAAAGTGCGGCAGGCCTAGATGGAAGGGGAATCTGATGGAATCTGCTTGAAACATCTTGTATCTCAGTTATCTCAGTATCTCTTTTTATTTTTCAGCAGATGAAGGCTTTCAGGATCATCACGGCAACATTGGCTGGAATGACAATGGACAGTCCATCTTTTTCAGGGCTATGTCAGCCGAGCCCTTCATCTCCAGTCAAGCCGGTTCAAAGACAGAGATGGAGGCGAGTCCGTTGGCGAAGAAAATTTGCCATCCAGCTACTTGGATACTCAACAAAGCTGGCACAATTGTTGTCCGGCTTTTAACTCATTTTAACTCTACGTACTCTATATATCTCTATATCAATATCTAAGATCCCCTTGCCACCGGAATGCGTTTTTGGAAAGACCTCAGTAGCAAATACAAACTTCAGAGCTCATGGCAGCAATTTGCAAATTCCCAGGTTCCTCAGGTTCCTTCCAAGGCTTCCACCGCAGCTCTGTGGCTTATGACGCTGAAATAGTTAAATTTGCCTGGTGCAAACCTGGCCAAGCGATAGCATTTGCGCTCGTGTATATAGCCGTTGCTGGGGGCCTAGCCGTTGGTATGTTCAAAGTGTCAGCAATTTGGTCAAGTTGGTTTCACCAATTGCGATTTCTAGACTCAACAGCACAGTCACAACCCCAGTTAAAAGATGTTAAAAGTTATAGTCATATCAATCATTTATCATTGAGTCTGATGGGTAAAATGTTAGTGTAATGATTGTATAGGTAGTTGGGTTCTAAAATGCTACGCTGCTTGTGGTGATAGGTGAATATCTTGGCCTTGTGCTAGTTGGTGAGGTGATGTTGGTATCTCTGCTGGCCGTGAGCTACTTCGTGTGCGTACACGCTGATTTGAAGACGGGAAGTGCCACCACGGCCACCCGGCTGCAGTTCTCACCACTGGATGGCGCGGTTTGAGTGTGGCAATCTGTGGCAATCTGTGGCAATCTGTGGCAATCTGTGGCAACCAAGGTGGCCAATTTCTTGAGAAGCTCGGAATTCCTGGATGCCGCAACCGATGCCCTTGCAGGGATTATGAAGGACAGTGCTGTGCAGTGATATGCTACGTAGTGCCAATGTACAATATATATATATATATTTATAAACATATATATATATAAAATAGTTACATATATGGTTGGACCTTACATATATATATATATACAGTTATTAAATATATATTTATATATGTAGTATTATATAATTATATAGTTATATATATACATATATCTATCTAGATATGAATATTGTATATATAAATTCAAACTAGTTATATACATATATATTTAATTATATATAGTTATATATAGAGTTATTTATATATAGTTATTCATTGTTATATTTACAGTTTTATATATAGTTATTTATATATCATACATTCATTACTTCCTACCCCCAAAGTTCGTACCCCCAGATCAAAATGAAAAACTGATCCTGTAGTGACCCAATGTTTTCCAACCTTGTCAAAACTGAGAAGGATTACTCTGGGAAAGGGATGTTTGTGTAATAAGGCTTATTAACAAAGGTTCCATTAATGAGCCTGTGGGCGCCAGCAAGACTTCAAATGGATCAAACCCCAATGATATGGGGTTCTTCATCACCTGCAAAAGGCATTGCTCTTGGGAAGCCTTAATAAAAATCCAGGGGTTGATGTTGGGAAATTCCACCAAACGCGGGCTTGCTAAAGCCCAAAAATACAAAAAAATGATAGGCATTGGATAGGGATTGGTAAGGCTTAATAAGGCTTAATACCCTTTACTACAACAGAACAATTGTTTTGAACATAGTGCCAAACGGATTGGTTCTTAATAAGGCTTAATAAGGCTTAATACCCCTTACTCCACAGTGCACTTACCACAGGTTCTCTTTACTGAATCTGCACATCTTTTCCCATGGGCATTCACAAAGCTTAAAAACTACTCACGTTAAGCAATGCATTTGAAACCCTTTACAACAAAAGGCAGCCTTCAGTCGCTCGTGGCACAACTTTCCATCTTTGGGTGGTTGCAACACATACACGACCACAACTCTCTTAATAAGAGATTTCCATCTCCACAAAAAAGTGCGCAAAAGAAATAATCCTTATGTAGGCCTTGCCAAGGGGAAAATAAGGACCAATCCGTTTTGCATTTTTTTCAAAAAACATGTTCTCTTTTAAAAAAGGTTATTAAGCCTTACCAATGCTTATCCAAGCTTCCCAAACATTAATAGTACTTATTTAGCCTAACATGGTCAAAACATATTTGCGCACAAAACCCATGGTTTTCCATTTTGATCTGGGGGTACGAACTTTGGGGGTAGGAAGTAATGAATGTATGAATATATAGTTATTTAAATATAGTTATTTGAACAGTTATATATATATATTTCGTTATTGATATATAGTTGTTAATATATAAAGTTGTTTATATATAGCTATAAGTATACTTATGTATATAGTATACTCTTATACATATATATAGTTATATATATGTAGTTATATATATATAGAGTTATATTTATATAGTTATATATATAGTTATATATATATATATCTATATGTATAGTTATGTATATAGCTATATAATATATAGAGTTATATGTACATATTTAGTTTTGTATTTAGTTATGTATACAGTTAATATAGAGTTATATATAAAATTATATATGTAAATATATATATATACAGATATATATATAGTTATACATATATAGATAAAAAAAATAGTTATACGTATAGTTATTTGTATAGTTTTATATTTTCGGTTATATATATATAGCTATATTTATACAGTTATATATATAGAGTTATGAATATTAAAAACATATGTATGATTATTATATATAATTATTATCTTTTATTATTATACATAATTATGAAATATTTGATTATGGTCTACGATTAATATATATTTATATATATATATATACTTATTTTTTTAAAATAATTATAAGATCAATTATTAAATAAAACTATTATATACAATTATTATATATAACTATTATATATACTTGTTTTTTTTAATTATCATCGAAGGAAGTTTAGAAGTCAAACTTCCGACAATATGGGCAGATGAAAAGCAGAGCAGGGCAGAGGCAGAGAGAAGAGACAGATTAGAAGAGAGAAGATCAGAGAAGAGAAAGAGTCAGAAGAAAGAAGATGCAGATGCGCGAAAAGGTAGGAAAGTCGCGAAACACTGTGTTTTTCCAATGATTTGTGGCTCCGGAGGGTCGAAAAGTAGGCTCGCTAAAGCGGCGGGTGCGGAGCCATTTGGCCAGATGAGAGATGAAAAATTGCACGCCGTTGTGGCGCGAAGCACATTTCGAAGTCAAAATGTACAAAGCACCACATGTTCGGACCACCTTTAGAAGTTGAGATGTGGAAAAAAAAGTGCACGCCGTTGTGGCGCGAAGCACATTTCCAAGTCAAAATCTACAAAGCATTTCAGCCCCTGAGCATTTCTAGAAGTTGTGATGTCGTGAAGTGCATGCCGTTGTGGCACGAAGCACATTTCGAAGTCAAAATGTTAAAACCACCACATGTTTGGACCACTTTTGGAAGTTGAGATGTCAAAAAAGTGCAGCCGTTGTGGCGCGAAGCACATTTCCAAGTCAAAATGTTAAATCATCACATGTTCGGACCACTTTTTGACGTCCCGATGTCGCTTCGCAGGCGCAAGGGATTGTGCACCTTGGCAAAAGTGAGCAAAACGTGAGGGTTTTGTAGCATTTCCAAAAACGATGGCAGGCGTGGGACATTTGAAGAGGATCTGCAAAGATGCATTTTCCGTGGCAGGCTCAGTACAAGAGACATGCTCATCAGAGCTGCTAGGAGTTCCGGGCGCTGATTTTTGGAGCATCAGATCTTCAGGTTTGCTGAGATGATTTTGCGTGACAGGTGCAGCACTTCGTATGACCTGGCATCACTTTTTCGTGGCAGGTGCAATACTTTAGACAGGTGGGGTGGAAAAATCGCAAAACGCATTGGTACGAGGCCGTCAGCTCTGCACTCAACTTTCCATTTTTGAAGGAAGTCTTGCAGAATTGCTTCGTTTTTGATGTTGTCAAGTTCAAAAATTGAGGAGGTCTCACAGCGAGTCTCGCAGAATTGCTTCGTTTTTGACTTTGTTAAGTTCAAAAATTGAGGAAGTCTCGCAGAATTGCTGCGTTTTTGATGTTGTCAAGTTCAAAAACTGAGGAAGTCTCGCAGAAGAGCTTCGTTTTCAAGCTTGCAGATAGACAGATAGACAGATAGAGAGACAACTACAACTACAACTACAAGTACCGCTACACTACATTACTACTACAACTACAAGTACAAATATACTACGCTACATTGCACAACACTAATTACACTACGCTACGCTAATTACATGTAATCACGCTACACTACACAAATTTCACTACAACTACTACTACAGCAACTACTACAACAGCAACTACTACTACAGCAGCAACTACTACTACAACAGCAACTACTACTACAACAGCAACTACTACGACAACAGCAGCTACTACTACAACAGCAACAGCTACTACAACAGCAACTACTACCACAACAGCAACAACTACTACAACAGCAACAACTACTACTACAGCAACAACTACTACTACAGCAACAACTACTACTACAGCAACAACTACTACTACAGCAACAACAACTACTACAGCAACAACTACTACTACAGCAACAACTACTACTACAGCAACAACTACTACTACAGCAACTACTACTACAGCAACTACTACTACAGCAACTACTACTACAGCAACTACTACTACAGCAACTACTGCTACAGCAACTACTACTACAGCAACTACTACTACAGCAACTACTACTACAGCAACTACTACTACAGCAACTACTACTACAGCAACTACTACTACAGCAACTACTACTACAGCAACTACTACTACAGCAACTACTACTACAGCAACTACTACTACAGCAACTACTACTACTACTACTACTACTACTACAGCAACTACTACTACTACTACTACTACTACTACTACTACTACTACTACGATGACCGCCGCCACCACCACCACCACCACCACCACCACAGCTACAACTACAATTACAAGTACAGCTACACTACATTACGCTACAAAACGCTAATTAAATTGCAGTACATTACAGCTACAACTGCAACTACAACTACAACTACACTACATTACACAAAGCTATGCTACACTAATTACATTACATTACACTACAACTGCAACTACCACTACATTGCACTACACGACACTACACTACAACTACAACTACACTACTTTACACTACAATACACTAGGCTACACTACACTATATATACCATGCTACAGTACACAACACTACAGTACACTACAATACACTACACTAATTACACCACACCACAACTACAACTGCAACTGCGCTACACTAATTACACTACTTTACAGCTACAACTTAAAACGACAACTCCACTACACTACAACTACAACTACACCTACAACTACAACTGCACCACACCACACTATATCCAGCAGTTGTGGTGAGGTGACCACTGCAACAACATTGCAGCCACTCCAGAAAACACAACTCCAACCACCTTTTCGTCCATCAGTGGATTCGCTCTGCCATCTGTGATTCACAACAACCAACCTCTCCTATGGGTTTACTGTTTTTGAAACTTCCGTCACCGCCTTGTGTGGCACCACTGGTATAAAACTCTTAGAAACAATTTTGTATATAATTGATTAAATAACTATATATATATATATATATAAAATAGCACTTTATAATTTGATTTTTAACATTGTGTAAATATATATATATATATTTACTTATATACATATATGTTTTTATAAATGATAATATATATGATTAAATATATGATTTTGTATATGATAATAGATTTGATTATATATATATATGTTTTTTTTTTTAAAATAAGATTATATATATATGATTATATAAATGATTATATATGAATATATATATATATATATCTATATGTAATTGCAAATGAAATTATAAAATACTGTATCTAACTGTATATATATATATACACACATTTGACATAATGCAGGACACGCCTACCGCTGCAGACCGCGGTCTTTTGCGAGCTACTGTTCATTGCCAAGGACAACTGTCATTTTTAAAGACGGCTACCGATTTGGAATTGCTGAGACCCGAGATGACAATCGGTTTCCTCCTGAGGTTGAGAAGGATTTTGACGTTGCTGGCCTTGGCGGCGACTTGGCAGACTTTTTGAGGCCATTACTATAACCCATAGTCACATCAGGTAGGAGAGGCACTTTTGACCATTCTGACCCATTGTCTCTTCCATTTTCTGTGCACCGGTGTGGACGGCTTACATTTGGTTGAGCATTCGATGACATGTCCTTCAAATTTTTTGTTCACAGCTCCACAAAGTGAGGTGCCGCAATTATGTCAAAGGGGCAAAAGGACCAGTTTCGGGTCACACACACACACGACGCCACCCTTTTGATCCAATCACTTTCGTTGCAAAAGCAAAGTGCGATGCAGAGCATTCTCACTTTCAGGTCTCAAATGGCACTTCATCCTTTGTCACTGACTTTGTAGGACGCTTGGTTGACGCTTCTCAAGAATCTGAAGCACCTGTCGCTGAAGAGTGTTGGAAACCGTCGCTTGGGAAGTGGCTTGACTCGTGTTGGGAGGTTGAGCGAAGGTCGCTCAAGGGAACGCTTCTCATTGTTTGCATTGAACATCATCCGAGCGGACAGCTGGCGTACGATTGTTTGGAGCAACACCCTGAAAAGAACCCTTTTCCTCATCTTTCCTCTTCTTTCAACAGTCCAAACTGTAGGAGAACAAAGCCAACCAAGTGACCAAGTGTAATTATATAACTTATAATTTCTTCTGAAACTTGGGATACTTATCCCCTTATCCAAACATATCCAAAGTGGAGGTTCATAAAGCTCTGCCATTTTGTGCTTCGATCAGTCCAGACGCCTGTCAGGTCTCAATGCCACAGAGGCGAATGTCACATACAAATTTCACAGTTTTGATGCTTGGAAGAAACCTGAGGCCGTACTCGATGGGTTTGTCTCAAAGTGGGGGACACCCAATGGGCAGATAATGATGATTGGAACTCCACATTTTGAGACAAACCCCATTACTTTCATATTTTTACATGCTTGACCACTTTTTCAGTGGCCTCAAGCTGAACTGAAAGTTCATAAGTTCATAAGTTCATAAGTAATTAAAACCGATCCCTTCAGCCAGATGGACGTCTCAGGACAGCAACCAGAATGAGGGTACAGGGACACTAGGAAGCTTCTGGGCTGCAAAGCTGGTGGGAAGCATAGCTGGGACCTTTCTACAAAGCCATTCAGTCATTCCTTGGCTCGAGGCAATGGCATGAAGGACCACAGCGTTTCCGAGGTCACGGTTGTCCCAAACCCGCCAGGACAATGTCACATGTCCTTGATATGATTGGATGTAATTGGATGAGTCTTTGGGCTATCCACCTTGGATTTGAGTCTCCTTTTCTTCAAGGTGCCCATAGCCATTTGGCCCCTGTGGACCATTGGCTCTGACCGTGAGGATTCTCCTTCACCATCGGCCCTCCGGTTGCTGGCATGTATCTCATTGGAGGCACCCTCGATGTTGTGGGAAGCTACTTGGCGTCACAAAGTGTGAAGGCTTTGAAGCCTTGAAATATGGGTATGGGTCAATACCTATAGATACCATTTTTAGGGGGATGCACATCCATAAATCCCAGCTATTTTGAGGTGAACTACAGGGGTACAAGGTTTTGACACACTGCCATATCTTGGAATATCTGGGAATCATTGGAAGCAGTGGTAAGAAAGGATAGAAAGGTTACACCATCGGTGCTGAGGAGATGAGCACCAGATCAAGGGCAAGATCCGGGCAGCCTTTGTCAACCTCCGCAGCTGGCCACAACTTAAAGCGCAGCTTTTGACCAAGCGACGTTTGATCCTTTTGAACTGTTCCCAACTGAGTTCCAACAGGAACAGTTGGCCCAGGAACTACACTCACAGGAACATGGGAGTCTGAGAGCAACGATGCTCGGATTTGAAGCCAGATGTACATGCGGACATGCCACCACAACACTTCGCAGGTCAAGACACCCTGGGATGAACGGTACTACCACTGGATTGCCAAGCTTGAGCATCTTCGATTGTTGAACAGGGGCTGTCACCCACTGCAATCAGAAGTCTCCAAAACTTGCAGACTCGTGAGCCTTGTGCTTGAAATCATCATGCGATATGCTGCTATGCCAAGCTCAAATACACTAAATAGACATCATCGTTTGGAGCTGGCCTCAGGATATGGACAGCGTGTTGCGCATCCACCTGAAGGAGTTGGGTGTGAACGAGGAATGGGTGTGGAAGCCTGACGGCAAACCGGAGAAGCTTGACAAGCAGCTTGGTGAAGCAACTGGGAAAAGTGCAGCAGGCTTAAACCTACCTCGTGAAAGCGGGGCGAAAGCTTAGCAGAGGCGAAAGCTTCATGAAAGTGGGGGATGAGCTGATTTTATACATGTGAAACATTACATATATACAAATAAACATGAAACATATCTTATTAAAGCTTGAAGCATCTTCCCTCAGGAACATACCTCCTATATTTTCTTATTTAAGGGTTATATTGGGGTTATTTCGAGACTATATTGATTTAGTATTACCCTATTTGTTTCAAATGCAGATGGAATTCAAATCAACACTTGTTGGGTTTTACAATAAACATGAATCAATGTTTGTCACGCTCTGGTGCCTTAAGATTTCCTAACATAGGGGGTAAGTCAGAAAAACCTGATTTTTCTCGAGTGAAACCAACTTACCCCACAGTTATCCTTAACTGACTCTACCTACAACTGTGAATAAACCAATCCCAAACATCCAAGTCTTGCCATCCGACCATTCCACCGACTATATAGAGGTATATTGGAGGCATGTCCCCGAGGGCAGATGAAAATTCCTTTGATCTTACATAATGTATACATATTGAATCTAGCTGAATGAATACGAGCTCGGCGAAATCAAATCTGAGGGGGAGTGCAGTCCAGCATCATAAAAGGTTTGCAAGAGCATCATTTGAGAATGACATGACAGACCCTTTTTGAACACCGCTTTAGGGATACAAACTCTTTGGAATCAATGCTGCAGTACCAGGCATCCTGCAGAGATGTATTGTAGAGGAAACTATCCTTGGCATAGAAGTCGCCCAACTGCCCAAACAGCCAATTTCTGATTTTGGGTTCGTCTGAAACTAGGGGATATCTCCAAACTGTAATTTTGGAAAATGATGGTTCAGCAAAGGATTCAGCGGCACCCTAGTTTTAGACAAATCAAATTATGTGGCTCTCACGATACTTGGGGCTGGAAGAATCGCTGTTGGGAGTGTTGTGCTAAGGACATCTGGAAGCACAGATGGTAGCGATGGCAAGTAAGCCTAAGTAAGCTGCAAAGGACATCTGGAAGCACAGATGGCAGCGATGGCAAGTAAGCTGCGAAGGCAGTTGGCAACTGCTTGCCACAGTTTAAGCTGCAGGAAACTCAACTGAGGCCTACCCATGGCCAGCAGAGGTTTGAACACTGATCTCGAGTCAGGCTGTCGAGCACGTCTGCACCGGTATCAGATCAGAGGAGGACTGAGGTAATATTTCTGTGCAAGGGATTCCAAGGGTGTAATGAGTAATGTATAATAGGAATTTGATGGAGTCAAATTGGACTCAACAGATATTAACTTGCATGTGTGAAATCAATTGCAAGAGTACGACTTGCTTGGGAGAACAGTTTCTTCCAGATTCTACATAGAGAACGGTTGAATGCTTTTCCTTGTCTGCGGTGCCTGCGGATGATCTTGCAACAGACTTATCAAAGAGACCTATACCCTGCTAGTCACTAAAGCGACTGTGAAGCGACTGTGAAGCGACTGTGTCTAATGATTTGGATGGTGGAGACGGACAGATTGGTAAGCCGGACAAGACGGCAGAATCACAGGAGACAGCAGTTGAAAAGGAACTGATTTGCGGAACCTGCGGGAGTCACAACCTTTCTATATAAGGTCTGCAAAGTAGTGTGAAAATCAGTGAAAATTGCAAGAACTTTCGACCTTTTCAACACTGTCTCCAAGTAGAGCTGCCCAGTTAGTGGCGGTGGTGGCTGTCCTGCAATCTGACAGACTTGCGAGGGACATCACCAGTTTTTTTCCAAGCTGTAACGCGTTGCGCAGTGCCTGTGAACAGCAGCAGGCTAGCCGCTGTTTTACACGAGTCCCTTGCTGAGCATCTCGACAGGAAGGAAACCCAAGAGAGTCGCTTGATACGGGTAGCCGGAATGTCTGATGACTCACATGGGCCGAATTTTGTCTGCATGTCTTCCAGCCAAGCGGAAAGTTGGGAGTACAAGCCCAGCCTTGCAATGGCCAATGAAATCCAGTGTGTCACTGGAGGCAACAGGGCTGTCTGTTGATGCTTTGTGATGCTGGTTCACTGGTTGATTCATGTTGATGCTTTTGTTTGTGCCCTGACCAGCACGCCGTAGTGACGTCCACTGTAGGTTCACCGTTCAAGTGGACAGGCCGATGATTTCATGTTCCTGCCTGTGGGCGCCTTCGCTTCCACAGTATATATTTATACCTTGTCGGGCTCAACCTCTCAATATTTGCAGGCCCTTTGCTGCCACAAGCGTCAGCACTTCCCATGCCGCAGAAACTAACATTGTCAGAGGTGAAGTGCACTTTGTGCATCTGTACCTTCTGTGAGACTGTGAGATTCTCTGAGATACTTTATTATACTTTATTTCTTGTCTGCTTTGCATGGGATCACTACTGTACATCTTTGGAGTGACAGTCGGTCAGCCTAGAGACACCAGGCTGCAAGCGTCCCCTGCGATAATAGTATAGCTCCTTTTAGGGCCTTCTCCGCCTTACAGCGCGAGAGCCGCCAATCCGGCAAGTCCTGGAATGAGCAGCCCGTCACAGAGATGCTGTGACTTGTCCTCACAGTGAAGTGAGTGTTGTCAAAATATGTCAAAACATACGGGCTGCTAGCATAGGCGTTTAATGCCTGACTGATGCGTCAGGTATTTTTTTGTAGTTTCCAGCACTTCCGACTCGGACGCACTGGCCCATGGGTGCTCAGCCTTATTCGCAGAGGGAGCTCCTGCTCCTGGACAATGGCCACGAAAAAGAGTCTCATTCATACAATATGCACATGGTCAAGACAGAACAGGTGCAACTGGATGTTGCACCGCTTTTCTTGTGCGGTGCTTTGCTTGTAGCCCTCCTTTGGTGAAGGTCACAGCAAGTCAAAAGCAGATTGCGTGTTCTTCAGGTCCAGATGGCGTCTTCTTGGCTGCAGCCGAGGCCACTTCAAAAGCTGCTTTTGAACGATTAAGTAGAGAAGCAGAATCATAGAATTCAAGACGCCTATGGCCTCAGTCTATAAGAGACTCACAAGCAGCATCAGCGACAGGACGGCTGTCTGAAGCTGAATGATGTTGACTTTGAGTTTGAGGCGTGAAATGTGGGGAAATGAAAACCAAAGCCCGACGCTATCTTATGGTTTCTAGTCACTCTTCAGTGATGCTTAACACACATTTGAACACACCTTAACACATTTTCACACATGACAGGAGCTGGTGCATGTGTGAGCTTGAGCTGTACATGAGATGAGCACAGACTGTAGGTTTGGCGGGATTGAAACTAGCATGATAGCAGCAAACCAAATTCATTTTCGAACCACAGCTGTCGAGGTTGTGATCTCCGCAAAAGTCTTTGATATCCCTGATCCTGATGTGTTTGAACCTGTTTGAGTGGAAGTGGACAAGAGCATCTCTTTGATGGAGGTATTCCCGCCAAAATCACTGAGCTTTGCTCCACCAGGTTTGCCTTTTCGATCGCGTGACTCAACGTGATTTGAAGAGTGGCAGGAAATTCAAGCCAGTGCCTTAAAGACCTCATTCGAATCTTCTTTTGGATCAGTGCTGTTGCTAGTTGCTATCGTTTATTTTCACGTTTGATGTGGCACTTTACCAACATCAGGCTTGGTCAGGGTGGTGAATGGGCAACCTCACTCTGGGAGAACGGACAGCACAGGACAAACTGGTCAGAAGTCCTTGGATATTACCTGTTTCCACAGCCAATACCTCACTCATTTGGCACTCAGTTAAATTTAACCCAAGGCCGCGTGTTTTTTCTTGTTTTAATCATGTCTACCAGGAATCCATCAGTCGCCATTGAAACATTTTGGATACGTTGGCGAGCAGGACTGACTACACGAAGCTGGTCAGCCTCTTAAATGGATTGCCTAGCTTCTTTCCGAAAGATCAGGGAGGGTTGGGATGACGGGTGTCCTGAGATCATGAACCACGGCGATTTTTGTGCACCGGCCCACAGAAGCCGCGAGGCTAGCCACAGCATCCAAGCCAAATGTTACAAAGTTGGCATTAAGCGGAATTATGCCACAAGGTAACATTTTGCTTAACTTAACATAGTGTTGAATAATTTGATTTTATCTGACCCTCGAGTTGAAGAGACTGCAACGCAGTTTTTTTTGCTGGACCAGCTCATGTATAAAGATGGCATGAATGACTGAAGACACATGGATCGCACTCAACTGGTTGCATGGCTCTTCGCAGAGCGTCCCTGCGTGAGAGGTAGAGATTGACTTTGAGTGTTCTGCGACGCCTGCCTTGATATCGGCCCTGATCCCAAGGGGCTTTGTGAGCAAAACCCTCCACACCTTGTTGGCTTGATGTGAGGGTAGTTACGGTAGTTACGTACATCAAAGTTTCTGATCTGGGCCTTCAATCGAACTTCAATATACCCAAGGTTCAAGAGACGCAAGTTTGCAGCTACACCGCACGAATGACCTCGCCTCAGATCTTGCTGGGCCTGTGGCAGATAGGTGTGAAACCTGGGTGCGGAGGCGAACGCCTGCAGCATGCCCCTCATTGAGCTGATCGGCGACCAAATGTGACAGCTGGGGGAAAAATACGCTGGACATTTGGGGGTCTTTATGATTTTCTTTGATACACACCAAACACGGGGGTGAGTCAAAATCGGGAACCCCCAACGTCCGTGAAAATGGTCCAAATCTGAAAGGAAATACGGGTGTGTGGGGCATCCCTATTTTTGGACACCCTGTCACTCTGTAGAATGGGGCTGCAAGCACAGCAGTGCGCATGGATGCTGAAGCCACTTTAGATGTAGCCCTCGAACTTTTCCAAGAAATGCTCCCAATCTCACGTCAAGAGATCCTATTGTGGTGGTGGTAAACCTTGGATATCCTTGGATATTCGGGGACCTCTGGGGACCTTTGAAGCGTTTCCATCCTTGTGGAGTGAGGCCCCCATGTAGTGGTTGCAGGGCAAAATCACCCAGAGACGTGGCTCTTTGGAAATTTGTGTGCTTGTCAACCTTTTGGCTGGCCTGGCATGGAATCAGGAGGGTTTCATCTAAAGCAAAAGACATGACCATCCGCTGGCAGAACCTGCTGGGCTTTGCAATAGTTACCATTTCAAGTTTGACAAGAAACATGCTGGCTGGCAAACAGGAATGCACCATGAAGAACGCAGGCCACGAACAACTAATCATCATCCTCAGCCAACTCCCGCACAAGATAACATGATTCCCAGAGAATTTCCGGGTATCTCACATAGTCAATTGGGGCAATTGACAACCTGGAGATTTCACATGGCGGGGTGGTTCCACAAACTTTAGCCACTCGGCTGAAGACTGCCAGTCTGCGAGTGTTTGGCTTGAGATTCGAACAAAGTGTATATGTGCGTTTCTATAGACGTTGGACAATCAAAATTGGGGTGCATGTTTTTTAAATTAAAGATGTTTCCCCTTGTTCTGTTCAGGTTTTGTTGAATCATGGTCTCGAGGACATGACCACAGCTTCCTCCAAGAAGCATCGCATCCTCACGAAGGAGCAGCAAATCAATTTGGCGTCCGACTTACTTTGCAGAGGGCAACTTCGCTGTGTCGGGTCCAACTGGCACACGGCTTTGGGCTAAGGTGGTCAAATTGCTGGCCAGTCAACCAAAGAGGGTAAGAGATGTACGCGAAAAGCTGGACACTCAAAACGCGCGTGCGCTGCGCATACGATTCGTTCTTCTTACAAGAGTTGGATTAGAATTACATTTCAACCTGACGCATTTGGGCCTTTCGAAACGTTTGTGCAAACACTTGAAGTATCTTGCGATGTCAGGATAGAGGATGGAAAAGCCATTGTTTGCCATGGCCTGCTGTTCAGTCTCGCGATTCTACGTGAATCATTACAGAAGTTTGAGGCGCGGCATTCTTGTGAGCACAGCGGTCTGCCGATTTGGAAAACTGTTGAGGCGCAGGCGCAAAGCGAGAAACCTGGGGTGCAGCCAGAAGTTCAAACGGACTGCGGGAGCAGAAAGAGGAAGTGCGGCGCAACTTGTCAGCAGATGGCAGTATTCATTCTTACCTCTGAACATTTTAGAAACAATAAGTCGCCTCATGGTATAGCTATGTATAGCTGTTCTTTACTTCATTTCGTGCTTGACCCGCTTCTGCAGTCCTTTGGGAGCTCCAAGATTCTTGGCTTGATATCTTGTTTGTATTTGCGGGGTTTGCCTATCCTCGCCCAGGATGAAAATCAGAACCCTGCGGACAACCATGTTCACAATCGGGGTAAAGGCTGTCTGGCATGGGTTGCTTGCTGCTCACTTCAAGAGAGCTATAGATCAGATTAGATCAATATTTTTTCTTTTCTCAGAACGGCCTAAGCATGGCGAGACAAACTTGTTGGTAGCAATCGGAACAGGTGGGACAAGCTTTTGAGCTGACATTTTACCTTTTGCATCCTTTTGCGGTCCTTGTTCTTGCGAGCCAGTGACTAGGAACGCCAGCTGGGGATGAAACAAGTCGTCCAATGAAGCGCTCCCCTGCAAGGCATGTCTTGGCAAAACATTTGTGCAGTTTTGGGACGTTGTGACTTAGTTGTTACGATTCCATGTGAAACAAGGGAGAAGTGACCACAACTATTCTGACCAGGATGCTGTAAGGGCTTGACATGCTCTTCACATTTTTCACATGCACACAGCAATCACTGCAACAGCAACATGTCATGTGTGCCTAGATGGTAGCAGCATGTAGCTGCTTCTGCTATCTCGGGTGGCCTTTTTGGAAGCCTGTGATCGAGAGGCCTACAAAAAGCTCGCCGCTGCGACTGCCTGGCGCTTGGACACCTGTGCTCCTTCTGTATTTGCAGATATAGGTCACGTCAAAGAAATGTGATATATCGTATATGATCCTAAATCAAGATGGATATCGTATATCTAGTATGGTCATATTATATATATATTACGAAAGCCAGCCGGGAAGCTTTAAAAATGGTTTCTGTTTTTCCACCACATATCTAGATACCTCTGCTCTGTTTTCTTTCACATGGAAGGAATGCCACAATTCAAGGATCTTGCCTTGAGGGAGGTTGCAGCACTCCAGTACCAAAAAGGCAGGAGGTTAGAGACGGAGCTGAAAGAAAAGCTTGCTCGAAAACAACAGGAGAAAGAGGAGGAGCTGAGATTGAGAGCTGCTCAACTTGCCTGGGAGTTTGAAAGCAGCCAGAGGAGGGCAACAATTGTGCAGACCTTCCAGGCTTCAAATGAAGCGACCGCAACCGGTGCAGCCCTTCCAGCTGCACCTCCGTTGCCGTCCCAGCTGCTGGGTGAGAGTTCGCCATTTGCTGCACCCCTGCCCATAGGCACAAGCTCTCAGACTCAATTCGCGAAGACATCCGGAGGTTCGCCCTTCAAAGGAGTCGAGAAGGAGAAGCAACCTGCATCAGCACCGGCAGCCCATGAGGCACCAACGGCAACGGCATCCCAGCTGCAGGTGGCATGTATCCACCCTGGCAGGAGGGCCTGGTTGGATGAGTGCCCAGAGATAACCATCAAGGTGACAAGACGGGAACTGCCCCCTTACCCTGCACGTGATGAATCCTGGGAGGATGCCCAGATGTGGACATGCTTAGAGTGTAAAGAGTGTAGTGCCATCTGTTCCCACACGGCTGATGAAAGCAGGAAAATGGCCAGGTGCACAAAGTTTAGAAACAAAACTTGTGCATGGGCCCAATTCTTTTCTTACCCATAGCTTGAAGAAGATGGAACATGAATAAATCGATTCATAAAATAAGTAGATAAATGAACAGATCACATAATTCAATCACATGTATTATACTATATATATAGTGTATGATAGGACATATTTTGCAACAACAAAGGGTTTATTAGCTTCCATTAACAATTTCTTCCACTGATAAATAAAACATATAGATGAATATGTGTTTTTATCAAATATATATTTATAATTTATATTAATGTAATACCAAATGAGACTCTTGAAATCTGAAGTGGAGAAAGGATTCCATATGAACAGCAAGTGGGGTTGCAGAGTTTGGAAAGCTAGCTGGGTTGTTTTCCTTTGGGCAGTCCTTGTCTCACTTCGGATGTTTACTGAAGTCCTGGCATAGAGTGTTGTTTCACACTGTTTTTTGCAAAATATCAAGTTGCATGTTGGTGCGGACCCGTTCGAAAAGGTTCCATGTGAGCTGCAATTGGGCATTTGAATTTGGGACATATTCAAATGAGATGTGGAGTATTTAAAGCTGAAGAGGAGAAGGGTTTCATGTTCAGAGCCACTGTGGTGGAAGTAGCACATATTCAAATGATGGTTTTGAAAGCTGAATTGGAAAAGGGTCTATGTGAATAGCCAGTTGTTGAAACTGCTGACGGTGTTCATGTTGCTTCAAGTGCTGGTTGATCATTTAGATAGATAGACAGATAGATAGATAGATAGATAGATAGATAGAGATTTATACATATATGTATACTGTATATCTAAATATTTTCGAAGGAAGTTTAGAAGTCAAACTTCCGACAATATGGGCAGATGAAAAGCAGAGCAGGGCAGAGGCAGAGAGAAGAGACAGATTAGAAGAGAGAAGATCAGAGAAGAGAAAGAGTCAGAAGAAAGAAGATGCAGATGCGTGAAAAGGTAGGAAAGTCGCGAAACACTGTGTTTTTCCAATGATTTGTGGCTCCGGAGGGTCAAAAAGTAGGCTCGCTAAAGCGGCGGGTGCGGAGCCAGCTGGCCAGATGAGAGATGAAAAGTTGCACGCCGTTGTGGCGCGAAGCACATTTCGAAGTCAAAATGTTAAAAACACTACAATTTCGGACCACTTTTGGAGGTTCAGATGTCGCTTCGCTTCGCTTCACTAAAGTACACTACATGACACTACACTACACCCCACTACACTACATTACACTACACTACACTCCACAACACTACAACTACAATTTATTAAATGGAAAACTGTTTCTGGAATTTGGGGGCCCCAGGAATTAAATGAATTAAATGAATTAAATCGGAAATCTATTTAATGCATTTAATTCATTTAATTAGTTTAATGAATTAAATAAATTAAATGAATTAAATAAATTAAATGAATTAAATAAATTAAATGGAAAACTGGAGGTGGTCAGCTCTGAGGAGGAGCAGGCCGCAGAACTTGGACTTTGAAAGCTGAATTGGAAAGGGTCTCTGGGTGAAAAATATTGGGGAACATAGGGCTAGATGGGATGCTGGCTTTCGTTCCCCCTTCTCAGGTATATATATATATATGATATATGATTCAATACGTATATATATTTATATATACACCATATATCATAAATGTATTTACTGATTGAACCCCCCAACGAGGCACTGTTTCTGGCCATTGGCTAGTGGGCGAACCGTTACAAGGAAAGTATCGCCACGAGCGCAGCAAGCTCCCGAGAGATCTCCGGCGGTGCGCTTGGACGAAAAATTTGCTGTGATACGACGAAGGGTTTCTGTTTACCATTTAGCAACTTAGTTATCTTAGTTCAAAGACTTTAGTGGCTGGTGAAATTGTGATGTGAAATTCGAAATTCCAATCTCTTCCCAAGTTCCCAGCTTTCTGCCACTCAGGCGGAGGGCGATGCCGATGACGGCGACGGGCTGAGCGTCAAGGCCTTGAAGGCGCGGCTGGCGCAGCATGGCCTGCACACCGATGGCTGTGTAGAGAAGGCCGAGCTGCAGGCGTGGCAGATTTTCTGATTGTACCTTTGAAACAGGGAAAAAAGGAAGGAAGTGGGGGAAACATGGGGAAAATTCAAACGTCGTTTGAGCGTCGTTTGAGCGACATTTGAGCTCATTGCTATTGTGTACCCAGATGCTGATTCAAGACATGTGGGCAAAATGCGCTATTGCTGTTTGGGGTCTATGCTGGTGTAATTTTACTGGGATGTGTAAAAAAAACATTGAAATTGCTTGGATTTCACCAACTAGAGTCGGGAGGACATACCAGGCGAAAATGACCCGATTTTACGAAGAAGAAGGAGGACATCACCAGCAAAAACGATCAAAAACGGCTCGATTTAGCAAACTTCTTGAGGATTTCCACAAAATAAATCGGGATAAAGAAGGAATGTCGAAATGTCGAATCTACCCCGCTGGTTCCGAAACTAAAGGAGAACACAGCCTAGGATTCAAATCCATTGGTTTCAGGATTTCGTTGCTTCTCAAATGCCAGCAGGCACTGTGGGAGAAATTTGAGACCTACCGACAGCGGCCGCTGCACGAGCTCCAGGATCAATGATCCTTAGCAGCTGAAGGGGCACCCTCCTGTTTCAAGAGGTATTCCAAAGCACAACCGAAACAAAGCATCACCAGGGCTAAACTTTGGAAAGATGCCAAATCCTGTGGGTATTTTGCTACCGCTTGCCCCAAATTTCAGGTAAGTCACCTTCATTTTATGTTTTCTGTGTTGGATTTACACGCCTGGATGGAAACATTTTCTGATACTTTTCGGTGACTTACTATGATTTCTTGTCAGTCCCAGATTTCTCAATCAATCTCTTCAAGCCTTCATCGGCTTCATGCGAGCAGCAATCCGCTGCAACAATATAGTTTCTGGGGGAATTATTTTCCGAAATTGGCGATTGGCAAAAAATTATGCTCGTCGCATATGTGATTTGCAATACGGTGCTTTCAGGTGAAAAATGGGGCGGTCTTCGCTTCGACAGCGTGCTGGAGTGTGCTAAATATCTGACGTGGACGCCTCACTTCTGACTCGAAATGCGGAGAGGTAAGAAGGTATTTGTTTATGACAAATTTGGACAGCTGGGAAATCTATGGGTACAGGTCCTCAGGTAGTTCGTTCGCACCTTGAGGTCTGGAGAGCAGCAACAGCCTGTGGGGAATCGGTTTGGGCGGTTCTGGACGGTTGGTGCCTTGGGAATCCGTGAATGTCCAAAGACGGCGACCTTCCATGCACCTAGATGCCTTTTGGAGATCACCCCCCCCAGCACCATGGTTTGCTCGATGTGTAGCGTGGATCACCGCTTTAGGTTCTGTTTGATCATGTGGGGGTGGCTCCAAATTCTTGACTCCCAGTTTGGCACGCCCAAATAGTAAACATGACCAGCCATGTGGGTCCATTGGTACCCCAGATTTTTAGCCATCATGGTCAGCCAAATTTCATGGTTTATCAATGTTTATCAGAGTTTATCATCCCCTTTTCGCAGTAAAGTGGCAATTTTGCTGCATGCCATATCCCCTGTTTTAAGACAAACCTATGGGTTCAGCAAATGCTTCCAGATCCGCCGAGGCCACAACGAGTTCACCCACTGCGGCCAAAGAGCCTGCAGCGCCCACGGTTCCTTTGGCTCCTCTGCCGACGCCGGCGGTACCGGCGGCACCGGCGGTGGACAGAGAACAGGAGGGGTTGGGAAACACAACAGATGGTGAAAGGAGGGGTTGGAACAACAAACGTAGCAATCCGTAGACTTTGTAGATTTCAAGGTCAAAGTTAAACAAACAGTTTAAGTTTGAAGAAACCACTTTCAGAATTGCTTCAACTCAAATGATGCAAGAAGAAAAGACAAAGAACAGAAAGCTCACTAGTCTTGAGGGACGTTGAGTGATGTGGCAGGATGCCCAGCGTGAAGCCAAGCGTTGGCCCGGCAAGTCTTGAGGATCTTGAGGATGGTGTTTTCGGCAAACTGGCCTGAACAACATGATGGGTCAACATGATACAACGCCGACGCTTTCTGTCCTTTTTCTATTCTTTCTGTTTCTTTGAAAATGTGACTGTTGTAGATCCACTAGAGTTCATCTCTATCCAAGCCAGGAATGGCTGAAATTTGCCCTGGGCCGGGAAAAACAGAAATTTGATGCGCCAGGCATTCTACCACTTCGACGGGAGTCGTATTTGAATCCCACTTCTTGGGGCTTCGCAGTACTTGGAGTGCCTTGAAGCAGTACTTTGTAGCACGTTTTGTACGTCTTGTCACTTTCACTGAGTTTTTTTGCATAAGTTCTGCGGCTAGAGGTTCCAAAAGGCACTACGGAGGTCTCCGCAGTGCAAAGAGCCTATAGAGCTTTGATGAGGCACGGCATGCCTGGTTTATCAATAAGTCTCCTTGAAGTATAAATTGAGCTGGTAATGCTGGTGGAATCAATATACGATCCCATCATGTTAGGAAGCTGCATCCTGATCGAGCAGGGCAATCCGAGGATGTTGTGAAAGCTGTTGAAAAAGTTCGAGAGGCCACGGTCTGAAGAGTACTGCTGTTGTAATTTGGCCCCCTAGACAGCTCATCAGGTATGCAGCGAGTCAAGCCTTCAACTCGTGGTTCGATTCCGGGCAAATCACTCATTACAGGCCAAAGAGGCTTGCGAACGCGGTCTCTCTCGGCAAGAGCCGTGTGACTCTCAACGCAGGACTTGTCTTCTGCTTTTGCTCAGCCAGGATTGGCCCTGAATTTTGCAGCATTTGTGCAAGCTACAGGCCGGAGCAACCTCGTGAGCTGCGCTCCGATTGCCCGGCTTGTTGAACATTGATATGTTTAGGGAAGAACACCAAAGATCGACGGTGAAATCCAACCAATGCAACCTTTCAGTATTTCTTGAAGTGTTTGTTTATCTCTCGATGTTTGACACATTTTGAACCATTTTGACACATTTTGACAGATTTATTCTGGGAGAGGATGCGCCGGGGATCCAATGGTGTTAAACAACCTGGCCAGGAGGCTCTTTGCTCCGCTGCTGGTCGACGGAAATTCCAACTCAGCTGCAGCCTTGGTCAGAGTTCGTGAAAGGTGCATCAAAAATGCAACCGACAATGGTTGGTAAAATGTCACTAAAGTAGAAGCATGATATGATATATATATATACACACATATACACACTTACATATATTTATATGCTTTTATATATATATATACATAATATTATGTATATAATATGTGCTGTATACATATAGAAACCACCAGAAAAGATAGAACAGTCAAATCCAATTGAAATAGCGATGAATTACTTATCTATCCGTTTTGGGAGTACAATATCTAAAAGAAAAAGAGTGAGGATGTAGCCGATCAAGAATGATCAGGCAATAGATTCGAAGGTGACACTGGAACAATCAACGATTAGCGGTATATCTAGATATGTATATCACGAAAGCTAGCTTGTGCTAGCTGAAGTTGCTCTTGCTTTAGCAAGGAATAGGCAGGTAGCAGGACCATTGGATTCCCTGAAACTTTTAGGCTTATACCCCTCCGCTCCCCCCCAGAGCAGGCCCGGGTTCAATCCCCCCCCGGTCCGCTTGGGGGCAGGTACAGGTTTCTGCGTCTTTATCTTCACCTTCTTCATTTTCATCTTCCTTAGGAGCATTGTCATCATCACTGCCGTCTTCGTCGTCATCAACATCATGGTCATCATCACCACCGCCATCATTACCATTACCAATACCATTACCATCATCATCATCATCATCACCATCATCATCATCATCATCATCATCAGCATTATCGTTCTCATCGTTCGTGCCCACCATCATCGCCATCACTTTACTTTTGCAGCTGAGCAGCCTCCGGTACAACATGAGTATCCTGATTGGTTTCGTATCTCCCCCTGGCCTCAAGTTACATATACAGTATATGTTGGATACTATGTACGGTATATATATATATACACAAAGTATTTAAATGTATCGATATCGTAAACACATCTACATATATCATATATATATATATTATATAAGGTGTTTATCTATACATATATATATATACACATACATGTATATACATATGTATATCCATATGTATATATATATACATGTATATATATCTAAATATTATATGTATATATATATATATGTTATTATATGTAAATATATATGTTTATATATATATATATATGTATGTATATGTATATGTATATATGTATATGTATATATGTATATGTATATGTATGTATATATGGTATATACGCAAATGGAATGTGGGTATATGTATGTGCATACATACATATAGATATATTATTATTATTGTTATTATTATTATTATTATATATATATACGTATATATTTAATAATATATACATATATTTAATAATATATACATATATTTAATAATATATACATATATATATATACACATACAGAAGCAAAATGGGGGAACTCGGGATGCTGGAGGAAACCAGTGTTGTAATTTGGGCCATTCACCATGAGGCTGGACTGCACCAGCCATCAGAGATGCTGCGTGTTGGTCTCAGCCGTTTCTCACCACTGGAAACGAAAGCTAGAGGTTTCCAAAGTCCTGGGGGTACCCAAATCATCCAAGTCTTAGACCATTTCACGTTGAAACAATCATGGTGACTTGGGGATCCTCCATTTTAAGAAACCCCCCAGTGGCCCAGCTGTTCACTTAAACCTCAGGCCTGTTCGCAGATATGTGGTTGCTGCTCATGATCCTGCGCAAGCCCGGCTAAGTTGACCGAATGACTGATGATGGAATGAAAGAACGCAATACATGGGTTGCGTTCAAAATACATTTGAACCATTCTTATGAAAAATGCCTTGACAGATGGAAACGTTTTCTGTGTTTGTCCAGAAGTTCCTTGGCCGCATGCAGGTATGGGCGGGCATTGACAATCACAGTCCTCGAGCCAGACTACAGCCAGGAGCGCACGCTCTCACCATGCCCTGTGGTCGTTCATGCTCCGTTTATGCATGTCCAACACTATTGGGTTCCTACAGACGCAGGGTTCCATGTTCAAAACGACCAAGGTTGTTGGTCCATTGTGTTCCCAACTTCATCAACTTCCATGCCAAATCATCCTCAGACATGCTGAGGAGTTGCGAAGCTTTGTATCCATCGAGCACCTCACATCCTATGTCATGGCAGAGCAGGTTGCTTGGACACAAGATTGGCAGGGTCAGTGAACAAATCAGCAGAAAAACAGGGGGATGCACCAAACCATGGTATTCCTCACCTAAGGATATTCATTATAACCAAGAATCGGTATTTTTGGTGGTTTTGGGAGTCACCAATCAGTACTCCTTTGTCGAACCCTCGTTGAACATGCTCTCAGTCTGTGGTAGATGAGCATCGTAGGTTCCCACAAGAGGCACAAGAATGGAACTGATCGTCCAGCCACTAGCATTGAAATACGATGGTTTTTGCAGATACTACCTCCATGACCATTGGTTATCCCAGTAACCTGTAAAATCAAACGAGTTTCCACGGAATTCAGGTGGAACACCTTTTGGTGGAAGTGATACCAGCCGATTCACCTTCATTTCCCCAATTTGTTTATGAAGATCAAGGCTATATTATTTCCGCCACTGAAAACGCGCTTATCAACAGACCCCGTTCGGTGTCGCCTATGCCACCAACATTCTCAGTATGTTTGCAATGCGGCAATGCATTTTCTATATGATCCTCAAATCACCAAGCCTTGAGTCATGCTAATCACCGACTGCAGATGGACTTGGATCACCAACATGACACCAGGACCTCCAAAAGATGCCGAAATTGTGGACTCAGACTTCCCTACAAGTGCAGGCACGGACAGCCGGAATCGAATCAAAACGTGCAGAGGGGAATCGTCGGCTCCGCCGGGTTACTGGATCCCAGGGGTTGGAAAAGTTACTAAGATCAAAGAATGTTTCTCCTAAATTCATTAAGGAAGGTTTCCTTACTTAAGGAAAATGCATTCGTTTTATTTAAAGAAGGTGTTTGGATAATATTGTATGTTTCTTCTGCGTGTTCTTGATATGCCTAGCGATTTTTGTGCACAAGTTCTATTCTTCAAAATCGAAAAAACACATATTTCCTTGAAAATTCAAAAAATGAAATTGTCCAAAATTCGAAAATGTAGTTTTTCAAGCAAAAAATAAATTGATTAGACTTAAATTTTGAACATGTGTAAACATAAGAGTTCTTAAAAATTGTACAATGCCAAAGTAGTATTTCCAGTTGTTTATTGCCATCAAAATGAATGTATGTGTGCTTGTACGCTCCTGTAGGGCAATGAAAAGAATCAATCGAAATATGCGTATCTCATTTCCATGACAGAAAAACAACACTTTCCTTAGGATAAAAATTCTTTAAGAAGTCTTTAATCGAGGTTTCTTTAGTTGAGCAATGTTGTCCCTTAAACAAGGAACAAGTATTTCCATAGCGAGGAATTTATATCAATTATATATGGGTATGGATCAATACCTATAGATACCATTTTTAGTGGGTTATTCATCCATTTTAACCCAGCTATGACTTGGGGTTCACGGAAAGGTACCAGGGTGCCATGACCCATCCCCAGTTATTTTTCGAACTCCAGGGACCTATCCGAATGATCCACTTTGGGATCTATAGTTATCTGGAAGATACAGAAAGAACTATAGTAACTACAGATGTTCTTCAATGCTCCAGTTGCCAATTGTCCAATCCGTTTTGGCAGGTCGCCGCGGCCAACGAAGCTGGGCAATCTGCCTGGAGCACGCTGAAGGCATCCTTGGATTTGACTCAATTTATCGATGATTTTGTAGACCCATTTTTTGAGAATCCCACAAAGCCTGCGTGTCATATCACTTTCAGAATGGTTACTGCATGGATATATTTGGATATTGATGTTGGATGGGGCGTTTTGTTGGGATTTTGTACCTTCCTTTCATCCCTGCCACGGAGATCCCTTTGACGGGGCCTTCCGCGGGCAATGCAGCTGCTGCAGCTCCGCCCACACGGCAGCGAGCGCTTCCCAGCGGCCCCACTGGCGTCAGCGGCTTTGCTACGGCTGCCACAATGCAAAAGAGGACCAAAGATGGGGAGATCTTCAGATTCACCATGATTCACCAAAGGAAATCCCATGGTTCATGGGGTTAAACAATTTTTTTTGAAAGGCCAGTTTGCTTCAAACATCATAGCTGATGGGGTCGACATGTAATGATACGTAGCTTGGGAGTAATGCGGCAAGACTTACAATGGGGAGTGTCAAAGGAAAGATCCTGGGTCGCAATCATGAGCCAGGATGCACGATGCGGAGGATGTTACGGCTTTCGACACAGAATTGTCGTTTGCTCAGATATTCGAAACCTCATGGATCTGAAAATTCATTCGTAAATCAGCATGAGTATATCTCTTACTTCTCTCAAATACGGTCCATTTTGTTAGTGCACACTTCACACAGAGACGACAGTCTGGCAAACTTCAGCCTATCTTTTTCAACCACTCAGGCGTAAAATTCATGGGATCGCGCGATTACGAGCTTTCTTGGAGCCGCGGAAGAAGGCGCATATGGCAACAGGGATGCTTTTTGCAGTTTTTAGGGAATCCTAAAATCACAGTCAAGGATCTAGTGAGTGAGTGCACTTTGGCGCAAAGATAAAACAGCTAGGCTCTGGTTTAGCTGATTTGGTGGGCCCTTCCCCGAAAGCAAAGTCTGCATGCTTCATCCTAGAAAGAAACTACACGGTATGCCAGCCTCCATCCACCATCGAGCAAGGGATGCATGGGTTTGTCGCCAGCAGTCTCACTGCCATGTCAAATCTATATAGTCCTTTGAAAACCTGGTTTGTGGATGTTTGTGGCCCCTAAAATCCTTGACGAGTCTGAGGAGTGTTGATTAGCTGCCCACTTCACCATCATCCAGGAATTTAGTTCCACGGGCGTCCTGTTTGCTGGTTAAACTTGTGTTAAACTTGTGTTGCCAGGGCATCCTGATGGAATGGCTAAGATCAGTGAACTGGTCAGCCTATGGTTCGAAGCAGGAGATTTTGGGAATAGGCAGAACTCGCTGGTGGAACTTCGCGCTACCATTGGGGTCAAGCTCTTGAATGTGTCTTTGAACTCTTCAAGGAATACATCTTGGAATATCCACGGATATCACCTTGGACCTTGGATATCTTTTGATATCTTTTGGCTCATCAAAGATCCAGGTCAACATGCCAAAATAATCAAAGACGTGCATATGCCTTGAGACACTTGTGTTATGAGACCCACTGCTCTCCGTGTCTCCTGAAGGATTTGGTGGAGCGAGTGATTTTTATCCGCGAAGCGATGGTTTGTTGAGAACTGCTGAAATAGCTTTTACAATGCTCATCTTTGGGGATGACACAGGGTTGCCGAAGCTAGATGAATCCATACGAATCCAATATCCAAGGGCACCTGTCCTAGAGCCAAGGGTGGTAATTTTCTATGCAATGCAGATGGCAACCTTGATTTCATTCGGTGTCACGCTAGTCGCCGATTGATGGGGCACAATCGGCTTCGCTCTCTTCAGGCCAGTAGAATCCCCTTGATTTTGGCCAGTGTTTGAGGGCAAAATTCCCGCTGCAGATGCGATGAGGCGTCAACCAACCTTCCAAATTAGGAGCTGTGGGAATTGTCACTGGAGAGGTCTGAAGGCTGCGCGACCTTGGCTCAAAGATGCTTGATACTCCTAATGCGCTTTTCAATTCTTCACAGAGCTTCTTTTCAACAGCAAAACTCGTGTATTCCCACTCGTGGGGAAATTCCAACATCAGCCGCACAGCTTGTTGGTCTGTTGGGAACACCAGTCACTGCATGGTTGCGATTCTGCCATGGGTCTTCGGAGCTGTCTTACTGCAAGCAGTGTCGAACGAGCAGAATTTCCAAAAGGCGGTGGGATTTGTAAAACCAACTTGAAAAGACCAAGAGTTCTTGCTCCTGTACTCACCATACTCACAATCAGTTAAAGCTACATCTTCTCCCGATCTGCTCAGGGATTGCTCACCATTGAGCCTGGAGAAGGAGATGTTGTTAGACAGTTTGTGGATCATCATATGGATCCTTGGACGATTTGCGTGTGTCCATTCAGTCAGTGCTGAGCTTGGACAGGATTTCTTTTGAGTGGGTGAACTGTTTGTGCTTAAGCCACGCATTTCCGCAGAACCATTGAAAACAGGCATTTCATACAAGGTGTAAGAAGTCTACCTTCAACACTTCAAGCCATGTTGAGACACCTGTGGCACAAGCGCACCATACGCCGTACGTGTTCCAAGTGTCCTTCAAGGAGCCGCGGCATGCGGTGGCCGTCGTAAGGGTTGCTCGGGGCTCTAAGAGGCACAGCCTCTTGGCAGATTTGGCACAGGAGGAGGAGAGCAAGTGGGGCCCATGTTTTCCCCGTTCAGCTTTTTCTTCCTTTGATTGAAGATGATTGAAGAATATTACGAATACAGTATGTATTCTCTTTTAACTGGCAATGTATCTGAAAGGACAAGGAACAAACTTGGCCTTGACTCGTTTCGGAGATCTGTAGGGAGCAGAACTGAACCCGTCCTCAGCTCATTGCAGGACTTGCGACACCTTTTGGCCATTGGCGCGAACTTCCAAAAGGGGAGGACTGGCTGACTGGCCCATGGGCACATGAGGCCCTCTGGCGACAGTGCTCCAATCGTCATCTTGCATGGTGTCTGATCAATTCAATCTAGGAAAGGCTCTCAGACAGTTGCTGCAAACTGCAATGGCAGGACTTCTTTGACGGTTGTGGCCTCAGTTTCGAAAAGCTGGCGCTGGTGGGGAAAGGGATTGACCAAACCCATCCAAGTGATTCATCTTTCGGCTCAGTGCAATGTCCAATTGAGGTTCACAGATATCACTATGATCCGTTGGACTACGACGGCAAGTGGATGCCAGCCTAAGAAGCCAGTTCTCAAACCATCTTGCTGAGCACTGTGTATTCTTGCGATGGCAACAATCCAGATTTGCTCGATTTTCCACAGTTGTTACAGCAGCACGTGTGTCCGCAACTAAGGACGAAGTCCGCCATTTTCTCCTGGCTCCAAGAGGTCTCCTATCCACCTGTGAATCACTTGCCGCAGTTTGCCCCGACAAAGTTCTTGCCAGAGACTCAATGTAGATCATGTTTGGAGCTTAGGCGGTATATTATGATTACTACGGTCAATTTGAAATTCAATGGATTAAGACAATATAATGTCCATCAACCATAGCCATTGAATAATCCATATTCATCCATATTCAATTCATATTCAGAGCGCTTTACAGCATTGGCATGTTGTCATTTCTAGTCAAATGGCAGTGGAATTAGCTGGTTGCTTACCATGATTTGACAGGCTTCAATTTTGGTGATTTCGGGTTCCATACAAACAGAACCGCGTTGGCATATCCTTCATCAAGCTGTTCCATTTTGGGGGAAGGCCTAGGAAGGCTTTGCTGGGGGATCTAGGGATCTGGTTATTTAACATAGCCATGGTAGCCATGGCCCATAGAAATAGATGGTTTACCTATTAAAAAAACAGTGATTTTCCATGGCTATGTTAAATAACCAGATGGTAAATCATTCTAAATCTCTATAGATTTTCAATGACCAACTCACCAAGGACGCAGAACCCATTCGACATCTTGCTGGTGGTGAAGCCCGTGGGCGCTCATGGGGCTCATGGGGACCTTGCAAAGGCGTCGGAACAGGGTCATGGCCATTTGGGGGGAAGAATTTCTGAAGAACTTTGGAAGCATTTTCTCTATATACCATGTGTACCATGTATATATATATAATATACATATATATATATACCATGTCTATATATATATAGAGACAGTATAATATACAGATAATGATATATGATTCAAAAGATGCATAGAATTTGTTTTTTTAGAATCTTTCAAACTAAAATAAGTGATCGATGGGGTGTGATGATTTTGAGGGAGGCAGGCTCCAACTATCGCTGGGAGCAAGTTTTTGACCACTTTTTTGCTACTTTGAAACACTTTGAAATACGTATACACTGTATTTTGAAACGCTTGAAAATCACGGTGATCGTTTCTTTTGTGAGGCGCTGGAGCCTCACGCTGTGAGGCTTTCCCGAAAGCTAAAGGCAAGGGCAAACCTGCAAAAAAATCGTTCGAGCCAGATGCTTTTGCACGGGGTTTGGTGAAATAGTTCTTGTGGAATTGTCGTCCTGAAGACAGGGGTATGTATACACAGGGCCAATGAAGCACTGATAGGTCTCATTCTTTGCAAAGACTCCAACCACGCAGCAGCTTTGCGACATCTATGGCGTTGGCCCGCCCTGTTTTGGTCCAAAGATTATGCTAGAATGGTTCTCTGGATTTGCAACCGTGCTCGGAACTTCGACTTCTTGCGTTACGGTAATAGTCCAGACAGGTGCAAACTTCGGACGAGTTTCTCTTGATAGAGAAACCGCAGGACACCATTTTCTTTGGTTGGCTAAAGAAACCATGCAGCCATGCAACAGGTGCATAGTCCGGCCAAAAGACAAGTCAGACAAAATCAAACAAAATAGGTTTTCGCTTCAAAGGATAAAGGCTTTGCATATAAGGCATCCTTTATCACTTTGGAACATCACATCCGACGGTGCAGGAGATTGGCCTCAAAAGGAGCCACAGTCACATGCCCCGACCACCAAAGTACCGGGTTGAGGCCCTTGAAACTTGCAAACTTGATCCGGTGCCAGAAGACAGAAACACCGTGCTCAAGTTGCCACGCCACGCTATGCGTTTAGGTGTAAAGACAGGTTGGATTTGTTTATGTACAGCATTTTCTACTTTCATCCTATCTGAGATGAGGATCCAAGTCGACTTTGATATGTTGAAATCACCAGTTAACCAGAAGATGTTGTGAGCCTCGCTCAGAACCTCACAGCGGGTGACGTTGATCACTTCTTCCATCAGTACGAGTCAGGCACACGTAGCGGATCCTCCGTTGTGATTTCAAATGAATTCAAATCATAACATGGAGACTTGCTCCCACACACCATCTTTGGGAGCAGTTAGGATGAGTGCTTCTCACTGCCGTCATTGATCTTCATTGAATCTCCACTGGCGAGGTCTGCTACCTAGATACTTGATGTCAAAAGGGTAGGGACCTTGGAAGACTCGGAAGAGCGTGGGCTGCACAGTTCACGGGTCAATTGTGGTCTGTGGTATGTGATGCACCAAGGAAAGTGCAGCCAACTCATGAAGGGTTGAGGCATCTCACAGGCGCAACATGAGAACATTGTCTTCTCAAAACCCAAACAGCTGCGAAATACTGCGAATTTGCAAAGTGAGATCCAAAGTGGTGACCTTCTTTGGATCCCCAACCTGTTTGGCCTTTTTCTCACTTTGCAAGCCGTGAAAGGGCTGGCCCTGCCTGTGTTCAGGCCGTGACTTTGTGGAAGTTGTGCAAGACCCAAAGGTGGGACGAGACTGCAAGAGGTGGCGTTCCTCACTGCGTTGCTGTTTGAGTTTCCAGGTCTCTGTGCTGGTTGAGTTTGTGAGCTGCCTGGATGCAATCATCCGTAGCAGGGGAGATGGTAAGGCTCCGATGGTGATCATATGGTGTGATGTCTTGGGGTCTTCTTTTGGGGTCATGCATTAGGATGGAAGAGTGGAACCTCTTCAAGTGCTGAGTAGGTTTGGATAGGAAAGTCACGAAAGGTAGCCTGGGCTACCTGAGTTCTATGTACTTTAGTACTAGTTTAGTACTGGGGGAGGTGGTTGGCCCTTTCCTGGAAATTGACGGCTGGAAGTAAGGAATCTCCACGTAAGGGGGGGGGGCCTCCGCCCCCATCCCTTCGATTCCTCCGTGGTCCGGATTCAGCCACGCATATTGTTGGCTCCGCTGCTAGCCTCAAGTGATAAGTTTCCGGATACGGGTTAACGTATCGTCATTGCGGCTCCCAGTTGAAGCACAGTATGTTCTAGATGTGCAATGCACAAGCAGAAAATCGCCTCGAACTCTCAGATAGCCTATTGCTTGGCCACTACTGTTGAGGGCTTCACCCAGGAGCAAGCATCAGTCCCTGCGAGCCCCAGTTCAAGCGTGCCCAGAGTGCTCTGAAGGTCTGCATGGTTTCAGGTTGTGCGTGCCCCGGCTGAGTTGACGCACGCAATCTTCTGCAGCGACGCCCTGTCACTTTGACTAGCGCTTACTATCCGGATCGGTTGGTGCCCACACTGGCAGCGAATAAGCTGCGCGTTACAATCCCCTAGATATGGGTTACTGTATTATCTGTATTTTCATTTCCTGGAAGGAAGGAAGGAAGGATGACTTGCGTGCACAAGAGTTTTCCTATTTACCTCAACCTCTTCTGCTACCCCTCAGCGCACGCGCATCCTGTTTCACCCAGCACACATGCGATTCCAATCCATGTACGT